CCCGCGTATGCTTTGCTAGCAAGAAGATACCTCCGACCTGTAATTTGTGTGGCACCGCATGGATGCGACAATTCGATATGGGATCGAAGGGCCCCTGGTGCCCGGCCTAAGCCTCCGCCGTTGTCCTCCACCTTGAGGTGTGGGAAGATGAACCGTGCAAAGCAGGAACATGTAGGAGTCATTAAAAGAAATCATAAAAGTATGTTTAAAAACAAATGGCATTGTTTCTGGCAATTTGGTGGAACAGTCTTTCTTCAGTAGACTGCCATGGCATGGGGTACGGTACGACCAATGGTCGGTTGCAGCTACTCTCAAGTCTGCCCACTGAGAGAGAGACCATCAACCCAATCAGCCAATCCAAGTCTCCACGATGGTTTGAGAAGATCAAAGACTCGGCAGGGCGGCGAAGGCCACGAACATCCGAGGTGAACCAGTGAAGAATCTGGGTGTCCCAGAAAAACAAAGACAGAACACACGAATGTGTGCCTTTGATGCCCAAAGAACACCCCATGGTGTGGCGAGAGAAGCCTTTGTCAGTCTGTTGAGGATCATAGCCGCCCAAGACCAACGAATTAAGCCGGTCTGCATCTTTCTCCAAAGCCTAAAGTAAGCCTCAGCCTCAGCTTGAAAAAGAAACTGGACCTAGGTGGCCAGTAGCTCCAGTTGGCCACCGGTTTTCCGAAACAGGATCTTGTGCCGCGAGAGCTTAGCTCGAGTCCAAAGGAGCAAATGATATTATTCAATTTGCTATGGACCGTAGCGTGGTCACAACAGCACCTCCCAGTCTCCGAAAACTCCGAAAAAGAAAAGACGTGCCGTCTGCCAGTCGAGCAGCTTGATCAAAGCCAATCGTCTTCAAGATGCTGGACTGGCGTGGTTTGGGCAACAGCCAACAAAAAATCTCAGAGTGCTTGTCTTGCACAGATTTGGTTCCAGCCATTCTTCTTGCGACAAAATACCTCTATCAATTTATCGTACTTTTGCCGGCAGCAACCCCAACACTCAATAGCCAACCTCCACTGCAAAGAAAATGAATTTCTATCTATATACTCAGTTGAGTGTAAATTGTGCGCAGAAGTCTTCCAGTGTTCTTTTCTTCCAGCCTGGACGTCACCCTGCGCAGTGTAGACAAAGACCCTGTCAATTGCAGTACAAACTAGTGAAGACAAAGCACTTGAGGCACACAGCTGGTGATTCGTCGTTTTGCGAGGTTCGAAGGCTTGACCGTTGGTCGGTTCTTCAAGAGAGGCCCTCAGATGGTCATTTTTCGGTACCAGCTCTATTTTGACCCATACCCATCTGGTGGTGCCAGTCCGCCCGTTCGTTCCTGCTGCCAGAATATTGCATCAAGTAGAGGAAGGGCCTCGCCAAAGTCAGGCCCAGTAGCATTGTCACTGCTCAGTTCCAAAACGACACGGGTTTTTCCCTTCACTTCCAACTTGCAGCGCTTTCCTACATATTTCCAAATGCCTCTCAGAGTCTGAGTTTGCTGACAATTGATCTTGCTTCTGTCGGAACGTCTTCGGGCCTATGCATCACGCTGAGCAGAAATCTGATGGCCTCCGTATACTCCTGCATAGGCAGCATCAGGCTTTCCAGGCAGCATCTTTGAGGCACCACGCCACGAAGGTGCGTGAGCAGCTGCGTGCTGGTCTGCGGATTTCTGATGACAGAATCCAGGGATTCCAAGTTCATATATAGATCACACTGAATCATACTGCCATGTCCTACCTCTTCATCCCACACTCCCCTTCAAAAGCTCGCGCAGAGTCTACAGTCCTTTACCAGGCCAGCCGCCCAAAGCAGCAAGCAAAGCGCCTCAAGCTCCACATCGGCACAGAACTCCCAGATTTCATCTTAGGCCATGAGCAAATGACTGCTCTGGAATCTAGCCTGAGTTGTTCTGTTCTGCTTTCTTTCCCAGAATGACCTTGGGCAAAGCACAATCATTCCCTTTGTCCTTTTTTGATGTCTCAAAATTGATCACTGCTCAAACTCGTGCCGATGCCAGCTATTCTTAAAGTCCTTTGGCCAGGAAAGGATGCCTTTCGAACTGAATGACGCAAGCCATCTAAGCAAAAGAAAAAAAAAATATATATATATATATGTGAAAGAAAAGGAACAAAGAAGGAATATTATGGAAAGTCAAAAGAAAATAATGAATCAATAAAAAATGTCTATATTAACAACCGCGATGCCCCCCCTTTCTGCTTGGAAGCCTGGAGAAAAGTGCAACAAAGTGCAAACCACAGCAGCGCTGGTATGGCCTTGGCAAAAAGAGTTGGCTTGCAACGAAGAGCTGTGACTCCAGTTTCTTCTTTGCTTGACAGAAAGCTTATGGACAGGAATGTAAAGTACAGCAAATTAAACTTGTCTTCGAGTAGCAAAACCAAATCATGGAGCATTAAGATCCTTTCAGCTAGGGCATCGCAGGTCTATCGCTGCCGCTTGCTTTCTGGAACATTTCTAGGTATACCAGTGTACAGTATGGCTGGTGTCGAGGAGGGCATCACCAAATATTGACAAACAGTTATGCGGGACACCCTATTTGGCTTGAACATCCGTTCATGAGGATAGCACATACACAGTTTGGGTCTCAACAGCCACGATCCGACAAAGGTGTCGTCAAGCACCACACTTTGGGCACATGCACAGCACCTGAAAACCTAGAGATAGCCTGAGGTAGCTCTATGTATATTATACAGTATATAGACTCAGCCCTTCACTTCACACCCGACCGTCTACGCATAGTTCTTTGTCGAGATACCAGGAGTGCTGGTATTCCACTTCGCTTCAGCTCCATCGCTCAGAGACGGTGGAAGGTTCTTCGAATCGACAGGGGCCTACACCAGCCATGCCCCGAAACAACTTGGATGGCCTTGGGCCCCTCGAATGAAACTTGTCGTTGCATCAGCATTTTTGCAGGTGTCCATATGTGTGCATATGTTATTTGGATGCGGAACCAACGTTGGTAGTTCGGGATGACCACAGTGCTGGCAAAGTGCACAAGACTCTTCTTGCTGAAACTTCATGCTAGTTAGCAAGCGCTGTGAACCCAGTTTTTCAAGCTCTTTATCCTGTATCAAGTCTGAGGGGCAGCGGGAACGCAGAACTTGACTCAGCTCCTAAGCTGACCAAGCTAAGGCTTTGGGCCCCACTCTTGTTGCTTTCCGAAGCTAGTAAGAATGTCGGTGTCTCAACAAGGACATCCTTTATCCTTTGGTTACTGGTTTGATGAGGGGTCCTCCGTCGATAGGATTCGAGGTGGGTCACAATGCCAAGTCGTTTTTGACTAAACCAGCGTGCCATGTTCTGCGCTGCTTTCAATCTCCCTGGAGGATTGCAGGACCACATCCTACCTTTTGACATCTTGCGACAGTGGCTCGACATCTCGTGGTGCATGGTGCAGACTTTTGCCGCAGGGATGTGAGGGGACCACTCTCCAAGTCGAAGTTCACCACGGGAACGATCTCAGGCGTTCAACTTCATGGCCCGCGCCTCATTAAGAGACGCGGAATCGAGCAGTCTTCCCCAAAAGATTTGATGCAAGAGCTTCGGTGAACCTTTGGTGGAAAACCATAGGACACCTCGATGTCTTCCCCAGGACTGGGAATACAACAAACGCCATGGCTTAGCGGACTGACGCAAAAATAGCTTCAAAAATCCATGCTCTGGGATGGACCTCTTGAAGGCACCCGAGCCTTCACACCATCTTGGATTGGAGCTGCTGGATCACCACCTGTCAGCTTGCAGTCACGAGCTCATTCCCTTCACCATCAGAGAGGGCATCATAAAGACCGTTTCTTTGCGTGTTGTATATTTGCCCTGCCCCTTCGGCAAACTCTGTGCCTTTGGGAAAGCCACTTAAATTGTCAGAGAATCGTTTGCCATCTTGCATCTTTAGAACGCTACTAGGGGCTCCTGGCATTGCTACTAGGAGCAAGGACGCTACTAGGAGCATGTATCTTTATATATGACCTCATCTGTCTTCGGCCGCACCCTCCGGACTCCAGGGCCTCAAAAACGGCCTCCATCTTCAGCGATCACTTGGCAGAGCTCCAAGGGACCGAATCTTCCTCTCTAGGACGGAGGCTTCCACCTCGCCCAAAGACGCATTTCGAAGCAGCTCTGCCTAGCTCTTCCACCATGAAACTAGTAAACCACTATATACTGTAGAGGATTCTCTGACAGTAGAGCTGTGGCTTGAGACATGCGAAGACAGGTACTGTATCTGTTTTTTCGACCAACCCTGGATGTCTAAACATGAAAACTGGACATCATGCCATCGGCCTTCGCAGCCTCAAACTCTTGGTCGGCCGCCTCCTGACAGAGGGAACGGTCTATCCCGGTGATCCGCGACGATGTGGTGGTATCGTCAAGTTGGTGTGGGCTGGTCCTATGGTACAGAACGCCCCCTCTGAACTGGCATTCCTGGCTCAAGTAGTTGCTCTGCCTACTCTCACATGGATGTCTGTCTCTATTGCCCCCACAACCACACGTTTGGGCGGTGGTTCAAATGAACCTCTGCAAATGAGGAGGAAGTAGGACCTAGACCTTTGCATTGCGTTGCTACATCAGGCTATCTCGGCTGCACCCTGAGCAACAAGAACTTCCAGTCAGCCTTTGAAGGGGAACCGAACCATCTCAAATGTGTTTCTCTAAACGTCTCCGAAACTATGTGTATAACTGTATAATTATCCACGGAATCTCTGCACGTGCTCACAAGCTCAGAGGGCAGTCACAAGTGGCCCTGCACGGAGAAAGTGGTCACTTGGTCCATCTGTCCCTTTGAAAGTACCATCAAACCAGCTCAGCTTGCAAGCTTAGCAGCTTGCGAACGGTTCTATCGCTGGAGAGCACCATGTTTTCAGCTTCAAGCTTTCACTTCGTTGCAGCAGGCCTCTTTGGTAAAATAGCTATCAAAGCAATGCTCACTCAAGTCACGCATGGTGCAGCAGAATAGACAGGAATTCTCTGAACCTCCTGAAGAGTTCTCCCAATAAAATGATGTCTTTGTGTTAAGTATATAAATCCTTACAGTATATAACAAATAAGACCTAAGGACCTAAAGACAGAAGTATCTACTCCAAAGTACACCCTAACAATTGAACTTGAAGTCGCTGTGCTGTCGTTGCCAACCCTGTCCTTCAGACATAGGATCTCTCAACCTGAGTGGATCCTCAGACAGTACGTTTCGCGGATTCCAGCAATCCAAAGACTTCAGCGGCAAACAGCGGCCTGGTTGTCGCTTCCCGCTGTTCAACGGCTCTGAAAAAACCGGGGACTCTGACCCTGCACAATGAGCAAAATGGAGAACCAGGGAGCTCAACCATACCGCAGGTCTTGGGAAAGGATTAAGTTTTGGCCCACACCAACGTCTCAATTGACTTCCTCGGCACCAGTGATTGAAACGGATCAAAAAACAAAAAGCTTTACCAAACGTTGAGGCCAAGTGGCGCACATCCGGGGTGAGGTTCTGTGCTTTCTCCGGGTCAAAGACCATAGTGAAAGGTTGATCCTGGTCCAGGAAGCGCCGCAGTTGATCGAGTTTCAGAGGCCAAAAGGTCTTCGGCAAACACCCCTGGCGTGTGAAAAGAGCAGAATTTCAACATGTCAGATGTCTCCCTCGTCTGTCTTTGTCACACATGCGTCGTCTGTCTCAGGCGTTACGGCCAAAGTGGCCTCTAGACCTGGCAGCAAGTTGGCAATCACCTTCTTTGCTTTGCCTCTCTCTTCCACTCCAAAGAATCGATGGCACATGACGGCCAGGGCAGCGAAGCCCACTGGGCACGTGACCTCGAGCGCAAGACGCGGGCACTCGTGATGAGTTTTGCAGGGCATGGGCTGATTGGGCATCCCAAATTGTTATTCTGCAAAAGATTGCAAAAGTAACTCGACATAAGCACACCATTCTGTTTCTACGGCAAGTTCGAAGAACTCTTGCTTCTCTGCCCCAGCCAATTGTAGTTGAAACATACGGAGATCTCATAAACAACTACACAATGGCAATGGACGAAAAATGCTTTGCTCAAGGGGGCCTGGAGCTGCTGAAAGCAGGCATGATTCAGGATCAGATTCCACTTGGCGAAGCATGGGATATCTTTGGGGGGAATGCAAAAGGAAGTGGATTAAGAGTCAAGTAGACGGTGAACAGACCAGCAAGTATTACTATTTGGTTGATGGCACTCCAAACAGGCCGAGATGCACCATCGAAGTTCGGTGAAAGGAGAATCTTGCAAGCTGCTGTGTCGAAGCGCTTCACTCCGTCGGGCAGCTCTGGGTTCAAGACACTCAATAAATGAAACCAGAGGTTGTTGGCAAAATCACAGCGACAGCTCTCCACCACCTGGTTCCATTGCTTAGTGATGGAGGTATCTCGCTTGGCCCTGAGCACTTCTTTGCTCTCCGGCGACAGGTTGGGATCATTTTTCAAGCGCTCCTGAAACTGCTGAAGAGTCAGCAAAAGAAAAGCATCACCTCTTTGTTCGGATATGGAGGACGAGAACAAGGGTGAAAAAAGTCAAAACTGATCGCACGTCGCACGCCATGTCTCCATATTAGCATAGAAAGACTTTTCCCAGAGAGCCTCGATCAAGTAGAGGGACTGTGCGATCTTCGGATCTGTTCGCTCCAAATCCCAGGGTGCCACGTCCGGGGTCGCCGGGTCCACCGGGACCAAGCGGAAGGATGTACACCGTCCCAAGGGCTCTTCGAAGGTCAGGAAGTCTGTCCACAGAATCCTGGGACAATCAGCGAAGATCCACGAGTCGAGTCCGAAAACCAACGAATTCGGGGCAACTCGTGGAATCGGCCATCAAGTCTAACCGGCGGGCCAGGTCCGGGCCATGAATCTGATGGGTCACCATGGGGCACCCGGCCAAGGCTCCCAGGGACCTTCTTCTGATGCACGTAGAGCGGGATATCACGCGTCGTGACATCCCCAAGGTATTGGCCATCTCCCAAGACCTCTGCATGTGGCCAAAACTGGACCAAGGCTGCGGGGTAGAAAAAGCCTCGGTGTTTGAACGGACACTACCTGACACTCTGTGGCTCGTCCTTGGAAAAATGTAATCATACATACATAGATACATGTTATTTAGTTTATGCCTTTTATATGATGCCTTCATGTTCCAAAAAATATAAATCTTCCATGCAAACTGGTTTTGTTCAGTCTTGAGCATTTCAAAATTCAGGCCAGGGGCCATTCTTCATAAACGCGCCCACAATTCCGGGGCGTACAGGGCTAAACCAGTTCGAGGCATTCAACTTCAAGAAGGCGAGGCGAAAGACCTGACAAATAGCAACTATGGTCACCAAAACTATATTATACTTCTCTCTCTTATATATATACCTCTTGCGAAGACCTCCCAGGATACCAGAAACAAACTGTGAAGACTTTCAAAGTCAACAAACTTGAGCCTCCCTGGCATTGGCATCCTCATTTCCGTGACGCGAGATGCCGAGTCCTCTGGGGCGTTTCACGCTTTGGTCACCCGAGCCGAGTCAGCTGAGTCACGTCTTTGTAGCCATGAAGCACGCGAGTGAAGAAGTCCCTCGTGGCAAGGTAGTTGGCTAAGCAAATGGGTCGCCAGTGCATCTCCTTGTTGATGAGGAAGTGTCCAGTCTCATGTTCATGGCCTGCCCAGTCTTGAGGATGAGCTATGACGACTCAATGATTCTGCTTCTTGTTACTAGTAACTTGGGGTCGGAGAAAAACACCCAAAGGTCTAGCTGAAAGAGCTCCACGTGGCAGAAACGAGGCTCGGACATATTGTATTCAAGTTGGAGCAAATGTAGAACCACGTGTGTCGGCCAAGCAGACTGCCCATAGGGCCAACAGTCATGAGACCAATGGTCAGGCCAGAACATTGCACCATCACGCTGGTATGCTTCAGTTTGAAAAAGCACTTCGGGAGCGACCAGTGGAGTGATATCTGTATCCTTGGACACTGCAAAACTCGCATACGCTCTCTTGAACGCTCAATGCAAGTTTTTCCCATTTGAACGCCAAACGATGTTCTCTCAAAGTTGATCCCACAGTCACAAGCAGTTGAAAATTACTTGCTCCAGAAATGCATGCAACTGACCATAGTGATCAGTTTCGTTCGTCCGTAGGTGACATTCATCCAAATGTCCTCTTTGTCGCTGATTCTGGCAATCTGGCACCATAATTTCAGCTTAGCAAAGCCCCTGTTACTAGTAGCTTCTTGTTCCTAGTAAGGCCGATGCCCTTTGTTCCTAGTAGCGTCTTAAACTGCTTAGCAAAATAAATGTTTCCAAGCGGTCTCTAGTCTCCATCCATAAGACATGCTGAAAGCTGGAGCTCATCACCGATGGAAGCACCGTCTCATATTCAGGGTAAACTCCAGGCACCTCCGGATCGTTGTCACCCACGTGGGTTCAAAGTTTGCATTCAGAATATGATTCTGCTTCTTGTTACTAGTAGCGATGCCAGGAGCCCCTAGTAGCGTCTTTGCTCCTAGTAGTAAGGCCAGGAGCCCCTACTAGCTTCTTGTTACTAGTAACTTCTTGTTACTGGAATCACAGTTAATCATCTATATGGACACAATTTGTAAGAACTCGATTGATCCGTTTTCATACCCCAATAATCCAAAGGACTTGGTCAGCTATTACAGTTACACCGTTTCCGTTGTACTGTATTTTGTTGTTGCATCTATATAATTATTGCTGGTCAATGTTCTTGGTCTGGGAGTAGGTGGCTCAACTTCCCCCAAATAGTGAAGTTCTCTCTCAACCAATTCAAAAATGACGGTGGATTCCAAGGTACGTGCCTGGAGCTGGCGACAGGTGGCCCCGCGCATGGCAAAGGCCTTGCAGTGGGCCTCTTCCAACTCAAAGGCGTGAAAGAACTCCACGGGCAAGTCCTGAGAGATATGATAATTACTATTGACTGAAATAGTGACTATCATCGCTATCAGTCAGGTTGGGGCCATTGCTATTAGTTTGGAGGCCATCGCTAGTAGCTTGGAAGTCGTTTTGTTGAGGCACTGCGGAAACAACGACAATAAAGAAGGACCGGAAGAGATGGGTCGTACGAGACCCAGCGCAATCGATCACGCAACAGCAGGTTCAAAAGAATGAAAAGGCCAGCAATGTTCACTTGCTTTCATCCAAAGCTGTCCCAGACAGGATCAGGTTCACGCTTGTCGCTTCGGTTGGACAGCCTTGACCTAGCTATTGTTTTCGGGAACCCCTCTCCAAGCCAAAGAAAAGCTTAAGATCCTCCTGGGTAAGTCTCGGATTTGTGGAAGTGTCTCAAGACATCCAAGTTCGCTAGTGCCTGCAAAACATGTGGAGCCCCACCACTCATAACAATGCCAGTACCCTCGAAGGCAGTGCTGGAAGGCATTGGAGCATGCTCGAGCTCATTCATAAACCGGTTCACTGCGGCCTTCTCCGAGGGAAGATAGGAAAGGCACTCCTCGAGCAGCACATTACAATGACACAGGAGCTCCTCTTCTGTTCTGAAAATGGAGAGATGATGTGGACACTGAAGGACTTATCCTTGACGAATAAGGTGTTTTAAAGTACCATTCCGACCATTCCTCAAAAGTAGGAATTGGATGGCATGCTGGGATGCGTGGATACCACGGAGAGTGTGATGCAAGTCAACGAAAAGACATGGAAATGCACAGGCAGCTGGACACTCCTCGAGAGGTATTGAGTGACTACAAAAAATGTCTTGAGCTTCAGCAACTTCCACCAGCTGCAGCAAGACCAGCCTTGCCACCAAGGTCATGGCTCTTTCAGCCTTGCACGGCTCTTTCAGCCACTTTGGGCCACGCTCGATCCAGAGCTGACGCGGTCAGACAGGTGGCGAGCCACCTGGGGTGGCCCAAAGAATCTGAAGAATCTTCTGGTTTCGTGCCGTCTGGGGGCATCTGATCAATCGATCAGTTGGTACTTCATGGGAGTTCGTCTTTCATGTCTGATTTTGTGGCGAACTCCAGAAGGTTTCTCAAAATTTAAACATGTTGCCAGGCCTGCGAAAGGAAGCGTGGGTTTGAGCTTGAACACTGTTGAACAAAAATATTGCAACGCCCGCGGACATACCACAAGTCCATTGCAATCTCCTGCTCCTTCTGCAGCTGAGCTTGTTCACGACGTAATTCTTGCACCTCTCTTGTTGCCAACGGCCGATGACTGGTAGACGTGTTCGGACAGCCTCAAACATCCTCATGAAGGTCTAAGGACCACTTCTGCAAATGTCCAGACTGTTTGCACTAGTAGTGAGGACATGGAAGTGCTGAAATGCTACTTAGCTTGTCTCTTTCTCCTTGCCTGTCGCTGCTTGTGCTGCAGACCACACGCCTGGCAATTGAAAGCAGGCATATTCCTGATCCCTTTGGCCCGAGTTGAGTCCTAGGGTGCCAAGAAGAAAAACAAGATGGAGCCCACGAACCCGAGTGCAAACACGATCGAAAAGCACAATATGTCCAAATTACACTCTTGTAGGGCACTCTTGTGGGTCACTCTTGTAGGAAACTCTTGTGGGACACTCTTACGGGAGGGACACTCTTGTGGGACACTCTCGTAGGACACTCTTGTGGCACACTCTTGTGGGACACTCTTGTGGGACACTCTTGTGGGACACTCTTGTCGGACACTCTTGTTCGACACTCTTGTGGGACACTCTTGTCGGACACTCTTGTGGGACACTCTTGAAGGACACTCTTGTGGGTCACTCGTGTAGGAAACTCTTGTGGGACACTCTTACGGGACACTCTTGTAGAGAACTCTTGTGGGTAACTCTTGCGGGACACTCTTACGGGACACTCTTGTGGGACACTCTTGTGGGACACTTTTGTGGGACACTCTTGTGGGACACTCTTGTGGGAAACTCTTGTGGGACACTCTTGTGGGCACTCTTTTAGGACACTCTTGTGGGACACTCTCCTGGAACAGCCTTGTGGGACACTGTTGCGGGACACTCTTGTGGGACACTCTTGTGGGACACTCATACGGGACACTCTTTATTTGGGACACTCTATCTGGGACACTCTTGTGGGACACTCTTGCGAGACACTCTTGTAGGACACTCTTGCAGGACATTCTTGGGACACTCTTGTAGGACACTCTTGTGGGACACTCTTGTAGGACACTCTTGTGGGTGACTCTTTTAGGAAGCTCTTGCGGGACACTCTTGATACCACCAATCATCCCGCTCACCAGCGACGCGCCGCGTTTACACCAGCATGTTTCGCGCTCCCCAGTGGCACGGCGCCAGGCAAACACACTTCCCACCAAGGCCGCGCAAATCCGCATGGCACTGCGACATCACGAACGTAGTTTCGCCACACGGTCCACCACACACAAGAAGCAAACATATCACACGATACCACAAATCATCCCGCTCACCAGCGACACGCCGCGTTTACGCAAGCATGTTTCGCCCTTTCCAGTGGCACGGCGCCACGCAAACACACTTCCCACCAAGGCCGCATGGCACTGCGACATCACGAACGTAATTTCGCCATACGGTCCACCACACACAAGCAGCAAACATATCACACGATACCGCCAATCATCCTGCTCACCAGCGACACGCCGCGTTTACGCCAGCATGTTTCGCGCTTCCCAGTGGCGCGGCAGCACGCTCCGCATGACACTGCGACATCACGAACGTAACTTCACCACACGGTTTGCCCATACACAAGCAGCAAACATATCACATGATACCGCCCATCATCCTGCTCACCAGCGACACACCGCATTTACGCCAGCATGTTTCGCGCTCCCTAGTGGCACGGCATCACGCAAACGCACTTCCCACCAAGGCCGCGCAAATCCGCATGGCACTGCGACATCACGAACGTAATTTCGCCACATGTCTGCCCACACACTAGCAGCAAACATATCACACGATACCACCAATCATCCCCCTCACCAGCGACACGCTGCGTTTACGCCAGCGCGCCACACTTCCTGCCGACACACCAGAAGCGTTTCATACGAGACTTCCTCCACAAGTCACACGTACAGTCTCCAAAACGATCGCTTCGTACGAGACTTCCTCCAAAAATCACGCTTCGAGTCTGCAAGACGAGCGTTTCGTACGAGACTTCCTCCAAAGGTCACACGTCAAGTCTCCAAAACGAGCGCTTCGCTCGAGACTTCCTCCAAAAGTCAAGCGGAAACACCGATCGGAGTACACACATCACGCAGCCCTGCCAAGCAGTTTCGCGATTCCAGCCCCTCCGAAGAACACCCGCTCACGCGCCAATCCCAATGTCACAGCGACATTCACAACTCACAACCTCACGATTCCCTGCGCCTGCCACGAATCTTTCCGCGTCCACACGTCTAACGCGCACAAAGTACTGCGCCTGCCACGAAATGTCACCTCCGTCACACCTCGCAACTTCACGATTCCCTGCGCCTGCCACAAGAATCTCACTTCCACACCTCAAAGCCTGCACAAAGTACTGCGCCTGCCACGAAAAGTGACCATCATATCATGTGAGCTTCAACAAAATTTGCACCACACCACACGTTTGGAATGGCTTCGGCCCATTCTGAGGACACTCCCATCCGCCAAAATAGCCATTTCAGCTCAGACTTGTCACGAAAACAGAGCTTCGATGCAACACCCTGAAACGCGAACCCCAACTGCACGGCCACATCCAACACCCCAAAAACACCCCTCTCCCAACGCCAATCCCAATGGAACTGCGCAGAGAACTGCGGAGCTCACAAAACGCTGCCCCTGCGCAGTGAAATCCTCCTCCATATACAACATCTTACATGTCCACACGTTTCCACGCTATTTCACACGAATCTGACACGTCACGCTTCCATCCGAAACCCTCTCTAAAAGCTTCCCCCAATGGCATCGCCTTAGCGCCCTACTGCGAACGGCTGCGAACGGCTGCGAACGGTTGCGAACGGTTGCGGACGGTTGCGGACGGTTGTGAACGGTTGCGAACGCTGAGACAACGCGTTGCGAACAAGGCTCTACCCCCAGACCCCCAGAGTTAAACGAGAACCCTTCGCTACGCATTCGGGAAAAAAGAAGAAGAAGAAGAAAAAGAAGAAGAATCAACCGATCAACCGTTGTAAGTACCCATCCAGCCCCTGCAAATGGCTAAGCTCCCGCCCAAACACACAAAAGCATGCAAAAGTCCAATCTGGGCAGCATTCCTTGCCTCCGAGTCTTGTGCATCTGGCAAGGCACTCAGAACAACCTAGGGATTGACGAATCTGGACCCTTTGCCAGGCAAGCCTACAAGCCTACCACGATCTTTCTGCAAGTGTTCGTTGACTGCCAAGCTCCACCAAAAAAGTCGTCTGTGGCACCAAGCTGTAGCGCGCTGCCTCAGGTCTTCAGCCTGTGAGTCTTGTGCGCAACCACTGATTGACAGGATGCAACTGTGGATGGATATGCAGCAGGCAAATCTGGGTATCCCTCACATCGATCAATTCCAACAGTTCGTCTGCAAGCCATATGCTGGACATCTTCTTTAAAGCCTCCGACTCGGGCAAAGCTCAAGGGCCTCTTTGCTCAGACTGTCTATCTTCTCATCCAGGATTATGATCCTGCCAGATCAAGAACTATCAATCAAGATTGCCAAAACGCACAAGTGGCACACATGAGACTCTCTTACATGTTGAAGTTCATTGAAGTTCTATTACCCAGCTTGACTTTGATCTCTTGAGAGGCTGTCAGCCGGCTGCAATTATAGTACAGTATACTGCGTAAAGTTCAAAGTATAAAGCACTGTGCTGTGTTGAAGCTTTCCAGCTTGAAGGTGAAGTCTCTTGAACCACTCAGAAAGGAACAAAGCATGCTCTCTCATGCAAAACTAAAGCATCCTCTCTCATGGCATCGATTCATGATGCTCTCCTCCGCTCAGAGCGCACACACTCCTTCTCCAAGAACTCCTCAGGCGCATGGGCTGCAAGATTCGAGCATTCTGCTCAGCATTCTTCTCAGCATTCTGCTCAGCATTCTGCTCACATCTCTTTTCACCAAATCGGAACCCCTAGAAAAGCATGCCCGATGGCATATCCCCTGGAGGAAAATTGTTCATGGAGAAGTCAACCCCACTCATCAATCAGTGGATCAACAGGAATCATCAGGACTCAAGAATCAACCAACCAAATCCAATGACCAAAGGGTGTCGCGGGACTCCAAAGCTCCTGGTGCTGTTGAAGTTCTCGCACCTCCCGGGAAGAGTCTGCCGTGGCACTGTGAGAGCTCTTCAGCCCCTGGCAAGAAAGTAGAAAGACAAAGACACCACAGACTGTGCAGTTTGAAAGCTTGGGAAGAAGGTCCTCCCAGATTCTCCGCAAATCGTCTTCCCGCATTAGGCCTCTCCCTCCACAACACATCCTATACAAACAAAATCTAACAAATCTACATATAAAGAAATATGGAAGTGCAACGTGATTGACACATTTGATTTGAAAGCTGTCTTGGGAGAGGCCGGGTGTTTCGCTTCCATGGCTTTGACGGCCTTGAACCTGCCATTGGCGCCTCAACCACGTCCTCCATCACCGACTTTTGAGACAGAGTCTGTTGAAGCTGCTCCTGGCCAAGTTGGCCCGCACACCGCCATGGAGTCTAGGGTGTCCGAAGGACAGTGAACATCTGCGCATGCATCTGGTGACGGTGGAAGAGTTGAGAACCAAAACTAACCGAGCTACTTAAAAACAAGGAAACTGGAAAGGGCACATGTGCGGCGCAAGCAACACACACTGCTCATTCTGCTCCGCACCTGCAATGAACCGATCTCGACCTTGAGGGCCAAGCGTTGTTCCTCGGCATGTGCCTCAAGAAAGCTCCATATGCACAGTGAACAGCTTCTTGTTACTAGTAGTAAGGCCAGGAGTTAGTAGCGATGCCCTTTGTTCCCAGTAGTAGTTTCTTGTTAATCACTGAATGCTCCATTTTCCAGGCAGAATCAAGTCCATGGGTGGTGAGGTTCATGACGGCACCTCAAATGTGTCATGCAAGCGACCCTTGAGCAAGTATCTTTGCGTAATGCTGTTTCTCAAACTCCAGGAGCATCCTTCTTCCTTCTTCACCGGTCGGTTCCCCTTTCGAACGAATCACCACATTCATGCCTCTTCAGCATGCTTCCTCCGCTGGAGTTCTTCAATCTCACGGCGCAACTCTGCTGCCTGCAACTTCGCCCAGCTGCACCCGCCCGAGCGACCAGGTTGACGTACACAGGGGTCCATACTTTCATCCTTCCCCGTACTATGATGGGTGAATGATTCTTGAGAGGAACGGAGCACTGCCGAGCACTGCGGTTTGCGACAAATTTGACCTGGCAAACACGAGTGGTAGTGAGTGAAGCTGTTGAGGGCAAGTGTGAACAAGCCCATCATCTCTGTCACTGCAGATTCAACCTAAACAAATAAACCTCATCCAATTTGTACAAAGCAATAATTGCGTTCGCAGGAGAGTAGAACAAATCTGATCGAGTTTGTGGCAAACCGAAACTTGCCTTCTCGAAAAACCCTGTCATCAAGATCAACACACCAAATCGTTGCGAGATAAAATACTAAGCTCATCACCAAACATACCAAAGCCAGTGCCTCTTGTTCCAAGGGCTCGAGGCTGGGCGGGGATGGCCTTCAAACGTGGCCAGAATTCATGGCAATGGTGAATGAGTCAGCAAAGCTTCTTGCGCGTGATCATCCACCAAATGATTAATCCAAATAGCACTGCAAGTCTCTGACTACACTTGGGACTCAGACTTCTCCTCCTTGCTCTCCTTGATCGTCTCTCTCAAGCGGCCTGCATAGCTAGGGACACGCACACGGGAACCTTAGAAACCTATTAAATTGACCCTGCAACGGTGCCTTCATCGCACTATGTCTAGCTTCTGTCACCCTAGCAGGGAGCATTCACATGCAGTGCAAAGCCAATGATCACAGAAAAAGGGCACTTGTCAAGTCAATGATGTGCTTCCACTCTGGTCAAATCAGTAGACCTAGTACCTCCTCACATCCAGATTTCGCCCAACGCCTAGCTCTTGAAGCTGGCTCTCGTGCTCAGAGCGGAGCCTGAAGCCACGTCGGCCAAGGCTGCCAACTTGTCTCGCTCTCCCTCTCTCTCTCTCTCTCTCTGGCAAGAGGTTCTCAAGAAAAGCGATAAACCTGGTATTGAGAGGGTCCAGCGAGTAGTTTCCCTGTCAGGCATCTCCTTGCTAGCTGCGAAGCTTGCCAGGCAAGCCTTGCCTCTGGATCAATCGATGCTCCTCCCCTTTTCGCTGCCCTTGCACCTGCTGTGAGGGCAAAGGCCGCAAAACGTCAGGACGTGACAAACAAAACATAAACTAACACGGTTTCAGACCAAAGCCCTCGTGTGGTGTCAGTGTCTCCTTTCGTGCCTGCCGCCAGCGCCGCTCCAGGCCGTCACAATCTGACTCCAAGGCCTGGTTGACCAAAGAGTAACTAGTAGCGGCTTTGAGGCCAACACCCTTGACCTGCGTGGTCCAGCAAAGTGTGCAAAAACGAGAGAAATATTGAAAGTAACAGCAACAGCGTGTAACTGGTCCAAATCTGGCTTTTCCTGTACATGTACAAGAGGAGCAAACGATAACAATGCAAATTGTTCCCCAAATTCCTCTACTGTACGGCTGTTGTATCTAAAGAAGCACCTGCTCCATTTATGTTTACTACATGAGAAGGCAAAGCCAACAAACTAGTGAACGCGCGCTTGTTGAACTAGCCCTTTTTGAGAGTGTACCACCCACATAAAGCCGCTCAAATTCGATATCTCTTCAAGTCATCATAAACCTGACTCAAGCTGCTGACCTCCAACTGATGCAGCATCCAGGTGGGTGCAATGCCCTCCCGCAGGAGATTTGGGCGGGCTCAAATGTCAAAGTCAATCCATGTCAATCCAATATTGTTGCGCATGGAAGCAACAACAAAGGCCGGAGATGAATGCTTCAAATTTGCAGACCAGCTTCATGTAACATGCAGCATAACATGCATGCTTGGCGGTCGGAATCTGTTGTGGCTCCGAAGGTCATCAGGATTTGGTCGGCGTGACATTGTTCTTGGAAAACGATCATGAGAGAACTGCATTTTGACATCCCACGGCCACTCCCCAACTTGTCACTTTCATGAATTTGGATTCAAGCTCATACTACAATCTAGCCTGTCTCTGCTGGATGCTCATGACGTTTTGCAGGTCTGCCTTGGCACATCAACGCCAGGGCAACCCAAAAGCGAGGGGCCAAGATTGGTATTCACAAGCGGATTACACCACAGCCCGTCAAATGGGAACTGAAAATGTAGTGCCTTGACCTGGATCAGACCTGAGAAGGTTTGGAAGCTTGCCGTGATCTCAAATTCTGTCTCTTATGCACACGCAGAAAAACATGTCATTCAAAGCCTTTGGTTGGCCTGGGCTTGCCGCAGCACTCTTTCATCTCCAAACACTTTGAGCGGCAGGGATTTGAAAGAATAACATAGAATAACAATCCATGCACGCCCCAAGTGACTCTCTACCTTCTGCAAACCCGATGCGGACTGTTTCTCGCTACAATTTTACACGAACATTTGTTCTGTGTGTGTGGATGGGGAATCTGAGAGCTTACAAGTAGTATCAGTCCAGGAGTTTAGGAGGAGGCCAAGAGGCCAGGGTTGCATCGACATGTCCACTCCCACGACAGCTGATGTCAAAGAGTGCTTCCGTGGGTACATCAGCAGCTGAATTGAATCAAGGCCCTGTTCCCATTGGCTGCCTCTTACAGCTCGTGGGCCACTGCGGTCTGGTTTCAAACCAAAGGAACGTCGAGTTCATGAAGGTGACGTAGTAAGCTACGAAGAAACGCATTGAAATCATAGCTTCTGAAAACTCATCCGAGAGCTTCGATTTCACTGCTTTCAGCTCTATGTACAGGGGCCAAGCAAGCAGTCCCCATCTGTTGTCACGGGTTCAAACCTCAGCACAAAGTGGCTTTGTTCCAATCTACTCCTCAGTGCCATCTGATGAGCCCCACCTAGTGATAGATCGACTAGACTAGACAGACTGCAAGTCATGTGACTGAGTGCATTGGATAGAAACAGCAACGGGTCCTGGTCCACACATCAAATCTTAGACTGTGTTCGATGCTGCTCGGCACCAAACCAGTCAGCCACTTTTTGGAGCGACACGCCGAGCCTGCCATAGGTCAGCTTCATGAAGCTTTTCAGGGCAGGTGGGACACAGGAATGCAAACATTGAATTCCTTCCTTTTGCACTTCCCAGAGACGTGGAAGTGATAGTGGATCAAAGCTTCACAAGCTCTAGCATCAAGCATACTTTAAAGGACTTGAATACTTCTCACACGCCTGAGCCCCAATGCCTGGGTCCACACCGTACCCACTTTCTGTCTTTTTGCACCGGCCAGAATGACCTCCATGGCCGCGTTCATGCCCTTTGAAAGCTAGACAATCCTCCACAAAATGGCCATTCTGCGCTCGTTGTCTTTTTTCCGCCCAAAGAAAAGACGGCGGCTTCTCCCTTCTCCAGGAAGCTTCAGCGCATGGCCAAGAAAAATGATACGAAAATCGATGAAGCAGCTACTTCCTGGGCACCACATTCACGGTTGCCTCCCAGGATGACCCTGCTGCCAAGGAGATTGGGTCACATTCTACGCTTTCAACCTTGGTGAGGCAACAGCTTGTTTTCGTCCACAGAGTCTGAACTGGAACAGATTGTATGCTGAAACAACTGATCTGTTCAATCTCGATCTATTTTTGATGGCTTGGTTTCAGGACTTTGTTTCTGATGCACCCTGTACAGCTGTATGTATATAAAGGCTCCGTCATGTTTGTCCCTGAATGCAGCTCTGCGACACAAACGAAGGTCTTGTAGCCCATCTACCCAGGGTGACAAGGTGTTTGACGCATGAAAAGATGCAACATGTCCACGTAACAAGGCAGTGAGGAAACCCATGTAGGTACTATACAAAGCCCTTACTTTTTAAGGAAGCCCACCAGACCAAAACTGATTGATCAACATGTGTTTGTCGTTTGGGAGCCTTTGCGAGACCATTTAGGCGCGCAAATCGTATGTCACCGGTGCTACCTCTGCTATTGTATGTGTGTATCGATTGCCAAATGGTCACGTTAGACTGTATACGTATACTGCGCGTCCAATATCTGTACACTGGTGCGTCCTTGTCTTGCGTTTGTGTTTGGTCCGTCCTTTTGCGGAAAGTCCCACAGAGAGTGGCATGTATACAGTGAGCCTTCCCAGTCTTCCGCTTGAAATATCCGAACTCCCGACCTTGTCATCTCCGTACGGGTTCCACACCTCGGAGATCGCCATTTCGGTAGCTTAAACACTGAAATGCACAAGTAACATGTCTGCTTCGGTCCAAAACTCTTGCAACATGTGTTTCTTTCCTAGTAGCGTCCTTGCTCCTAGTAGCGATGCCAGGAGCCCCTAGTAGCGAACATTGTTCCTAGTAGTGAGGCAGCAACAGAGTCTCCAAGGAGCGTCCTTGCTCCTAGTGTTTCTTTCATGTTTGACTCTTGCCAGACTAGACACCACCAAATCTCGCCAGCCCCCATCACTGATGATGTCCAAATCACCCTTTTCAGGATCCTGCAAGGTGACAGTACTTGGCCACACCTGCGCCGGCGCTTTTTTGCAGGCGTTTTTTTTGCCCGCTCCTCTCTACTAATACTAAATATGTATGTGTATATAATATATATATATATATGTACGCGTTTATGTTTTTTTGGCCCGGGGGAGTAGGTACTACCTGGGAAGCTACTACCGACAGGACGCAGGATAGCTCACTAAGGATTTGGTTTCTGGATTGTTAGAAAACTTAACTATATTAGACCAAGGCTCTTTTTTTAAAATATATATATATATGTCGATTTGGGGACCACTACAGTTCTATTCTATTCCTCACTTTGTCTTCTCATGTTTCTCAAAGGTTTGTCTTCCAAACGCAAAAGCGTGAGGTGCGGTGGTCTACACCTTAATCTCTGCAATGTGCTTAGGTCTTCTGCACCAGCATGCTGGAACTGCATCACTCGCATCCTCAATCTTTTGAAAGACAAATACAAATAGTTTGTGTATATGTTGCCATGGTCAAATTCCTTCATGGCAACCAATGAGGCTGCAATGCACGCTGAGGAGAAAACTCCTTGGAAGGGTGCGACCACATTCGCACTCCCTTCCAACATTATCCCTTTCCACTTCTCTGATAAACGGTTCCCTCTTAGCCAGTGTGACCTCCTGTAGTACTGGCCACGAAGACTGTGCCGGTTTAGCGGTGTTGCTCGGGTTACGGGGTTCCCCCGAGGCATCCTCGCGGTAAAAACGGTAAAAACCGTGTGTGTGTGTGTGTTTCTTTTTTGTATGGGGGGGTTGCCCTGTTCCTTTCTACCATCCCCGTGGTAAAAACGGTAAAGATCAGTTTTTTCTATGTTTACCCGTTTTACCGGGGGAGCGCTCCTTTTTTAATACAATATCCGCGGTAAAAACGATAAAAATCGAAAACCGTTTTTAACGGAGGGTCCCCCTTTTTTCTTCCACCATATCCGCGGCAAAAACAATAAAAAACGAAAGTTTTCGATCCAAGTGATGTAGGCTTTCACTACCCTGCAAACGTCAAAAGTCGTAAAGTTTTGATCAAACATCAAGTTCCTCTTGTCGGAAAGGGGACACGCTCCTATATGACTATATGATGGGAGGGGTCAACCCCACCAAATTCATAGGAAGATGCCCAAGGGCTGTAACATTAAACCTTTTGTTTACAGAGCTCTTCTAGCTTGCGATCTGTTCCCGAGGCATCCTCGCGGTAAAAACGCTAAAAATTGAACTTTTGTTTTTGGTTGTTACCGTTTTTAACGGAGAGTCGCTCCATTTTTTTCTACCATCCGCAGTAAAAACGGTAAAAATCAATGTTCTGTCAGGGGGACTAACCCTTTTCTTTTCAAAAAGGGATGTTATGCGGGTGTGTGTTTTACGGTGGTAATAAAAACACACCTTTTTTTAATTTTACCTTTCATGGAACGATTATTTCAGTAACCCCCTGCTGACGGGTGAAGGATCAAAAAAACGTTGATAGGGATCAAAAATAATTGTTTGAGGAGATCCTTTTGAAAATAATTTAGATCAACAAAATATCACAGTAGTAGTGGTAGTAGTAGTAGTAGTAGTACTAGTAGTAGTAGTAGTAGTAGTAGTAGTAATAGTAATAGTAGTAGTAGTAGTCGTCGTAGTAGTCCTAGTCGTAGTCGTAGTCGTAGTAGTCGTAGTCGTAGTCGTAGTAGTCGTAGTCGTAGTCGTAGTCGTAGTCGTAGTCGTAGTCATAGTCGTAGTAGTAGTAGTAGTAGTAGTAGAAGTAGTAGCAGTAGCAGTGGTAGTAGTAGTAGTGGTAGTAGTCGTAGTAGTAGGAGTAGTAGTAGTACTAGTAATAGTAGTCGTAGTAGTAGTAGTAGAAGTAGTAGTAGTAGTAGTCGTAGTAGTAGTAGTAGTAGGAGTAGCAGTAGCAGTAGCAGTAGCAGCAGCAGCAGCAGCAGTAGTAGTGGTCGTAGTAGTAGGAGTAGTAGTAGTAGTAGTGGTAGTACTAGTGGTGGTGGTAGAAGTAGAAGTAGAAGTGGAAGTAGAAGTAGAAGTATGGGTAGAAGTAGAAGTAGAAGTAGTAGTAGAAGTAGAAGTAGTAGTAGTAGTAGCAGCAGTAGTAGTAGTAGTAGTAACAATAGTAGCAGTAGCAGTAGCAGCAGTAGCAGTAGCAGAAGATGTATTAGTAGTAGGAGTTGTAGTAGTGGGAGTAGCAGTAGCAGTAGCGGTGGTAGTGTTAGTAGTAGTGGTGGTGGTGGTGGTGGTAGTGGTAGTGGTGGTAGTAGTAGTAGTAGCAGTAGTAGTAGTAGTAGGTGGTAGCAATAAAGTAGTAGTGGTAGTAGTTGTTGTAGTAGGAGGAAACAGGACAAGACGCAGAAACAGAAAGAATAACAATAATTGTAGAACTAATAATCATAGTAACGGTAGTAGCGGTGCAGTGCAGACGCAGGGCGCTGGAGCAGCCTTTCTTGAATCAGTGAAAAAGGTTTCTATCACTTAGGATAGGCAGCGCGTAATGCAACTATGCGCTCGGAAGCGCTCATTCCCTGACAAGCCAGAGCAAGGAAGGACGGCGTGCGAGGACAAGGCAAGTTGCAAAGTAAAGGTCCTTCCATGGCAAAGGTGGGGGAGGTGGTTGCGCTTCCTGGGAACATCGCGAGCATAGGAGAGAAGATAAAGAAGTAATAATAGAATATATATATATATATATTTGGTATGGAGAGCAGGGCGCTGGAGAGCCAGAAAAGTAAGCAAAAACAAAAAGCAAAAGCAAAACAGTTGCCAAAGCAGAAGAATAGAAGAAGCAAAGAAGAACAAACAAAATGGAAAGCACAAAAACATAGTTAAAAAAACACAGCACAGTGAGAAAAAAACAGCAGAAGCATATGCAAAAGCAAAAACGCAGCAGAAACAGAAAAGCTGCAAAAGCAGAATCCGAAAAAACATACCAAAAAACAAATGAACACATTCCGTAAAAAAAATGTACCTTCCAAACATAATTCAATATCAATCTGGGGCGGTCACCAGGATCTGGAACGACCAAAGAGACGAAGGGACCAGGGGACCAAGAGACTAGGACCAGCAAACCAGTAAAGCTCAAGGGACTAGGACATTCAGGAAGCAACAGAGGGAGCAAAAAGGGGCCAAGGGATCAGGGGTTTAAGGTTTCTTTAGGCTTTGCTCACGGCTTCGCTTTTGGGTTCTATTTTGGGCCTGGTTGAGGGCTTCGTTTCTTTAGGGTTTCTTTGTGCTTGGCTTGAGGCTTCACTTCTTTAGGGTTTCTTTGGGCTTGGCTTAGAGCTTCGTTTCTTTGGGGGTTCTTTGGGCTTGGCTTAGAGCTTCGTTTCTTTAGGCTTGGCTTAGGGCATCGTTTCTTTAGGGTTTCTTTGGTCTTTAAGCTTCGCTTGGGCCTTCGCTTCTTTAACGTTTCTTTGGGCTTGACATGGAGCTTTCTTGGAGGATTAAAGAAGCGGGAGAGGGTTCGGGGGAGGGCGCAGCGCCTCCCCCATAACGCAAACAAGTATGGACAGCATGTTTCAAAAGCAGCGGCGGCAGCAGAAGGATAAAGGGATGTAGCAGGAGAACCAAAGGACCAGAGGACCCAGGGGACCAGAGGACCACAGGACTAGAGGACCAAAGGAGCAGAGGACAAGAGGACCAGAGGACCAAAGGACCAGAGGACTAAGGGACCAGGGGACCAAGGGACCAGAGGACCAAAGGAGCAGCGGGCAGAGGACCAAAGGACCAGCGGACCAAGGGACCAGAGGACCAAGGGTCCAGAGAGAGGATGAAAGGACTAGAGGACCGGTTACCAAACAATTTTTTGATGATTATTATTTCTTCTTGATGCCTATCAATTTTTCTTGATGCATATTTTTTGATACCTCTCCCCTGCTGACATGTAAGGTGAATCGAATAAATGTGTTTTTCATAGAAAACATGTTCTATATTTTAAAGTTCTATGCGGATGTCAGTTTTCTGCAGGCAATAAATAAATATATATGTTTCTAATATGTGTTTGCAATTGCTTCTCTCTCCGGTCCGTTACCTAGACTCATGGTTTGTAGACAGAGTTGATCTTGTCCAAATTTGAGACCACCATTTTTTTATGTTTTTGGTCTCCCCCCCAAATCCCGGACTGATATAAGAGAGAAAGAGATAGAGAGAGACCGAGAGAGAGAGAGAGAGAGAGAGGGGGAGAGAGATTTTATGATTGCCGAGCCAAGTGAGCTTTTGCATTGGAAGAGTCATGGAGAGAAGTAGTATCTGAAGATAATTGATAAAGTAGTAATGTTATATTATTGGAGAGAACAAACCGTTTGCATTGGAAGAGTCATGGGCTCCCCTGCTTGTTGGTATTGCAAAGGGCCAGAGGTGTTGGAAAGCACAGGTTTTGTAGGAATGGCCAGGTAGTCATCTAGATCTGTCACGTAATGGAACTGTACTGCACTTGCTTCCTTGCACGCTTGAAAGGTCAAAGGTCCTGCAGCCTCGCCACCACCCGCATCTTCCCAACCCAGGAGGCTGTATGAACCTACTGCCACCACCATCATCACCCTTCCCAAGCGTCTGCAAGCCAGAATGTCCCCTGGTTTGCCCACCAAACAAACCAAAGTTGCAACCTCGAACCTCTCCTTCTTCATATCATGCTGCCCTTCCTGCAGAAACTGCAAGGATGCAACTTCATTGAAGAGGCTCTCATGGGAGGTGCTGGGCCGGGTGAAAGTGGAAGACCTGGTTTTGAACTGCATGAGGTTCTGGAACTCTTTGCTCATGGTGTGGCTGTTTGGGTTTGTGATGGCAACAACTTTCTGCGCTTTGGATTTGTCAGCTGAAGACTGGGCTTTCTCACTGTTGCTAACAGTGATGTGGGGGGTCTTGATTCCAGACAAGACATTTGAGGTCAAGACACCCTGCTAGTCTGGTTGCGGCACGCCTCTCTCATCGTGTCTTTTGCCTTTTGGCAAGAGTTTTTTATGATCACAGTGTTGCCAGGATGTTGGCAAGCTGTCTTTGCCAGTGTTGCAGCTACTCTCTTGGCGCCTTGTTTGTGCTGGAGGATGTCTAGCTCATTGGTCAAGTAGAACAGCCTTTGGAAAGATGTCCTAGCAAAATAGCAAAGCTCTATGGGCCTTACCTCCATGCCATGTGCCATCACTCTTTCTGCTTCCAAAAAAGTTTCCCATTCTGCTTGCATCTGCCTGCTTGTTGTGTCAGCTTTGTCCTCCCTGCAAAGGCATGTATGTCTCATTGGTGGCATCAAAAAGGCGTCTGTCAAAGAGATTGCTCTCATATTCAAGAGTTTGATCAGCAGTGCATGGTGGATTGCCAAGTTCTCTGCAGTGCCCACTTCAGTGCCACCATAAAGCTTTTTCATGGTGGGGACATCAAAGAAACCATGGACAACTAGGTCTTGCAACTGGACCTGCCAATCACCAGAAGCCATCCCCATGACAAACTCCTGAAATTCCCTTGGTGACCTGACATGCTGGGACATGAAGCTGTTCGCAGTCCAAAGAGGTCTCACCATCTCTGCAACCAAGTCCTTCTGATAGCTGCTTTGGGGGGTCACCAGTTGGGGCGCCAAACTCCAGGACCCAAACTTGATTTTCAATTGTTTCAGCTCTTCTTGGGGTGAAAGGTTTGGTTGTAGCTGAACATCATCAGTGGAAGTGGGAATGGCAGCAGTACCTGTGGAGTTCATTACAAACTTGGACAGCCAATTCTCTCCTTCATAGAATTCATAGCTCTCCCACAAACTGCACCAACGCATGAGCTTCACACATGGTCCTAGAACCTGTAGACTTTTCATTTCCTTGACCCTCCTGAAAAGATTGACAATGCCATGCAATGTTTGTGGCTCATCTTGCCCAAGTTCATGTGCAATGTATGGAAGAAGTGTCATGAATTCTGGTGGCACTGTTGGACTCATAAGAAGCTCTTGAGTAGCAGCCTGCTTCTTCTGAAAGAAAGCTTTGGTCCCTTTGGGGCCATAGTTCACATTCCATAGGAGGCTGTAGGACAGGAAAGATTTGAACACCTTTGCCACTTTCATTGCAGTCTTGATGTCATTCCAAAGTCTATGTTGGAAATCATACAATACAACTATCATGATTCCAATTTTGTATTGTACATAATCAAGCAAAGCCCTGCTTATGCCACCTTGGTCTGACACTGCGACCAAAATGGGCTGGTGTGTGATGTCAAATCCTGGTGGCAACTTGGCAACTGTGCAGTTATGGTTCCCTTCGATGTGTTTGTGACCTCAAAGTGTGTACCCTGCTGATGCCTGCCCTCCTCTGCTGTCAACAGGCTTGAACATCTCAATGCTCATGCCTATGGCCTTGAGTGAGTGACATAGTGCCCTTAGCTCATTGTGGCCTTCTACCCTGGTAATTCTTCTTTTGTTGCCAATGCCTTGAAATGTGGGTCAACCTCTGTTGACAAGACTGGCCCCATGTTTTGAATAGGCAAGTACGCAGCCAAACCTTCCTCACCAGCCAGCCAAGACCACACAATGCTGACAAGGGTGCTGCAGTAACGAGAGATAAGAAATACAATATGGAAATTTTGTGTTCAAATTATGAATCTTTAAAGAAATACAATATAAAGATGTTAGTTTTAAAAAAATATGAAAATCACATACTGTTTACTAAAAAAACACCAAAACACACCGTAAAACACACACCCGCATAGCATCCCACACTCTTGCTTTTCTACCATCTCCGCGGTAAAAACGGTAAAAATCGAATTGTTTATTTTTTACTGTGTTTACCCGGGGGACGCTCCTTTTTGAATACCATTTCCGCGGTAAAAACGGTAAACATCGATAATTTTATTTATTTTTTTTAAACGGAGGGTCGCCCCTTTTTCTTCTACCATATCCGTGGTAAAAACGGTAAAAATCGATGTGTTTTATTCGTGTTTACCGGGGGGGGGGGGGGGAGTGACCCTTTTTTAATACCATATCCGTGTTAAAAACGGTAAAAATCGAAGTGTCGTTTTTACCGTTTTTTCTGCGCGGGCGCGAAAGGGTACCCCTTAGCAAAACAACGCTCGCGAACCGGCTTAGCGAAGCTGAGGTATCCAGGACGGGGTGTATTGCAGTATCAGTGTGGTACAGTATGGGGGATTATTGCTTTTGCCTTTCAAGTTCTATCAAACACACCTGCACCATGAGCCATGAGCCTTTTTGTAGATCTCATCTCTGAACTCTGCAATCTTGATCTCGTCCTTGTCGTAGTCCACCGGAGTGGGAGGATCTTTCGTTCGATCCTGACAGTGCCAACGAAGTCAGCCTGACATTCCCCTTTGCAGGAAGGAATTCAATCTAGGGAATCTCCCGCGAAAACGATTAAACTCGAGGCAGCTTGCACTGGGTCCTCGTATGTGCAGCCCTTGAACTTGCCAACGATCCCAAGTTTGTCAATGTCAGAGGTGGCAAAATAGCCTCGAATCAAAGTCTTGAAGTCAAAGACATGGCACTGGCGTTGTTCTGCAAAAAGTGCAACACCCTACCAAAGCTACTTTCCCGTGAGAGGCAATGCTTGCTTGACACTTGCAACAAAAATATGATTTATTTAATGACTACAGTATCCGCTTGTGCCGCATCTGACAAGCTTTGAGCACCATGCCGCACAATCAATGATTCTATTTTGTACCACCCAAAGCAAAAGGCCAACAACGTACAGGCACACAGTACAACATTTTCGCGATGTCAATGTCAAGACAATTTTGCAAACCCCTTTCTGGCCTTTTGGCATCTTTTGACCATGACCAGCCAAGTGGCTATGGATCCCGGTGGTGAAAGTGCATTCAGACTCCGACAAGTTTTCCTTGGAAGCACTCAATACCCGCGCACAATAGGGAAGCCCAGCAAGCCCCGCTTCGGCATTTGACGATTCAACATCTGGGGCACACTGTGATGATCCAGCTGAGAAACCAAATCAACAAAGTCCCTCACATTGAGCTGAAGGGCACCGGGAACGCTCGAAATTAGGCATAGTATCGGTCCAACAAAAAGGTGAAAGAAGCACCTTGTCTTCCCCTTGCACATTGAACCCATGAAACCGACCCTTCGCACCTTGTTTTCCCATGGTTTCCCCTACACAAAAGGACTGCCTCTGTTGAAGAGGCACAACAGCCCTGGAATTGATGCAAAAAGGCTTCATCGTAGTACTTTCGTACGAAACCTTTGTACCTCTTATGAGACATATATAATCCCTACCATATTCAGAGGGGGGGACCTCTGGAAAATGTAAGTTACATTTTCTGAGCATGCCACCTTGAAAATGTAATAATACATTTTCCTCAACGCCCCTAGCTTACATTTTTCAAAAATGTAAGCTTACATTTTTGAGGTCCCCCCCAAAAGTGCAGGGGGGCGTTCCTAAATGTAAGTTACATTTTTGAAAACATGTAAATTACATTTTTTCCAAACATGCAACTTACATTTCTGGAGGTCCCCCTATATTCCTGGGTAGGATAGAATGTCAATATAATATAATATAATGATTTCATACGATATCATACGATATCGACTAACGGATGAACTGTAAGATCTATCCTATCCTTGTGGTCCCTCGGGCCCGCGTCTGCTGTCGTGTTTCTGGTTACCTAACAAACAAGGGGGGGGGAAGAAAAATGTAAGTTACATTTCCCCCCCCCAACAAAATCGGAAACGGATCAGTGTGGCATGGACTCTGTATTTCATTGTATTCCCCAGGAATAACCGAGGAATGATTCATTCAAATTAGGGGGGGGTCACATCCATATGCTGTCTTGTGTACCTACAGTCTTAAATCTTACTTTTAATCTACCCGCCCCCCTCCCCCCAAACAAATGTAAGTTACATTTTTGGAGGTCCCCCTCCAAAATCGATGGTTAAAGGGGTAGGGATCATATATATATATATAGACATAAGACGAATAGGGTGCACTTGCTCCTCACCTTCAATGAATGAAATGTCGATGATTGAGAAGGTTCTGCCAGTTCTATCTGAAAGAAGACATGACCAGAGTGCCCATCCAGGTTTCTTCATGTTCTCCTAGGGCTAGCCTGCCGCAGTCTACTGGGAGAAAAAGAATCCCAAGGACTGGAGGTTTGAACAGTGTTGCTCCATTCGCAACGAAAGCCACTGAGCGGTCAATCTCGCTCAAGGCACCACCTTCATGGTAGTGGCCAACTCCCCATCTGTGAGCTCCACGGTGTAAGTGCAACGGAATTCAAACGGCCACACCTGCCCGGGTCACGCCCGTCACGACGCTTTCACCCAGGGTCGGTTCTTAGGGTCGGTGTTGCATGTGGCTTCATGCTGGAACAGTAGCTTCTTGTTCCTAGTAGTAAGGCCAGGAGCCCGTAGTAGCGTCCTTGCCCCTAGTAGCGATGCCAGGAGCCACTAGTAGCTTCTTGTTCCTAGGCTGACTCACCGGGATTCCTGAGTTCCACATAAACAAAACTTCTATTTCGAGCAACCGGTTCAGTGATTGGATTGTGGGATACATGTCTTCTCTCCGCCTGGAAAGGGTATCTATCCATGTAATAGTGTGTCTGTAAAGCCCTTCAACACAAGAGTGGAAAAAATATCTTCTTGTTCTGCTTCCCACAACTAACCAGACTCTTCTTTGAACTGCTGAGACTGGTAGTTGATGGAAAGGGACAGTTCTCCGGAGGCCATCATGGGTTGGCTCAAGAGACTGAAAATGGCCGAATGCCTGGCACAAAGAAAATGCGCCAGGAGCAATCCGGTGCAATGAGAGGTATTAGCTAGATTTGGCTAAGGTAGACCGCTGCCTTTGCTTTTTACTCTCCACGCATTTAGAAGGCTGGGACCTTAATGACCCACCAAAAAGCCCGCTTCAATGTTCGAGAAAGACGGCAGTGTTTGTGTGTAATGGCGGCCACATGTCCCATGAAATCTCATGGATGTCAGTGTGTCTGGACGAACCCATGGATGTTCTTCAGCCTTCTTCGTCTCTTCAGAGTCGACCAGCTCCAGCACACACTTGCCATCGCTGCTCTCACCCTCCACAAAGGTCCAATCCATGTTGCGGGCAAAACCTCTGCAAAGGACTCGTCTCAGCAGAGACAAAAAAGAAGGAAAAGCTCCCATAGAAATGTGCCCTCTCCACCCTGTTCAATCAAAAGCCTGCTTTTCCAGGCTTTTCCATGGCAGATCTCAAGCATTCAAAGTTGCTCAACTCACTCTAGTGAGCCACTGTCACTATGAGCCAATATGAGCCAATGAGCCATGCTGGACCTCTCACCTCGAAACTTTCTCCAAGGAGCCATGCTGTGGGATCACTTCCCCCGGCCCGAACTGCGGAAAGCAAATGGGAAGGCCTGGGCATTTGACATTTATCGGTGCAGCTCCGAGAAAAATAAACATCAAGCCACTGGCAACAACCCACATGGCATTCTAGATGTTGCGACCGTTGAATCGATGATAACGGGCCTAGGGAACGTCGTCTACAAGTGTTGAGTGCCAAGTGGAACCGGCGCCTCCGCTGATGTTGGCTTTGGAGCCATCAAGTTTACAATCTGCACGAAGGCCGATCCACTCCACTCCTGGCGGCACAGCAGCAAACATGTGCATGGTGACAGCTGCAATTGGCTGTAATTGGCTGTAAGTGTAAACGCTACACATGGATACTTGTTTGTGATGCGGCGATGCGCAATTTCCTGCATGGCCCATGCCGGCCATCAAAAGATTCTGTTGAGGTGATCTTCGATTGGTCTATCCAGGGGCACAGCTGTGACTGCAGCCAGTTGCGGCCTCCGACCTTGAAGGAGGTCACGTTTGCACCATGCAAATACACTTTGGCCTGGAAGTCTGTGAAGGGAAGGAACCATGAGTGCAACTTTAAAGCAACATCTACCACATGTCACATGACCAACAAGTTTGCTGTCGACGAACGAAATACTCAGAGTTTTTGACACGACTCGTCTTCTGTCGACCCGCTCAGCCTCCGAGTCGCCGTTCTTCAAATGCACGAAGGACCACGCACCGGAATCGTCCAGCTTGGTGCTGGCATGACGCACTACACGCGAAGCACGTGCACCTCGTAGATTTGGAAAGATTCTTGAACTGGGTGCTGGGGGCTGGACACTGGGGGCTGGTTGGGTGACTCAGACTACTGGGACAAATGCCAGTCAATTGTCAAGTGCTATTTACACCTTCTTCATCCTTCTTTACCCTTTTCCATGTTCTGAAGCCCATGAACCAACAGGCGTAGTTGCTTCTAGTCCTTTTCCGGCTGAAGAGCAGAAGATGGTTAAGAATGGTCGGAAACCCCTCTGTCTTCCTCTTTACACTGGGTCACTGGCTGGTTGCAGTAATAGGCGGATGATATACTTGGACTTGTAAGGTGTATTCCAACATAATCCCAACGAAACATGACTTCAGCACAAAACAAGAGCGGCCCATTTTCCCCCATAGTTCCTTTGTCTCACTCAAACAGCCCAAGCACTGCGCGTCTTCAGCTTCTTCGGCGCTCGGGCTGAGGCCGCGGTGGCCACCAGGCTGCCCACCAGAGCAGCGCGCAGCGCACACGTGCTGGGAGCAGTCGCAGGGCTTGGTGTCGCCTGGTGGCGAAATCATCCTCAAGTGGCGGCATCCAGGAGGCTGTTGGTGTTGCCAAAGAAATCCGGTTCAGTTAATGAGAAACCTCCACCAGAAACTGTTGGTCTTGCTCCGGTATCTCTGCCCCCCCAGTGTGGGTTCATAGGACTTGCGCAACAACAGTGTCGGTTGGTCTCAATAATTCCTGGTACTGCCTGAGCTGCATAGTCTTTGGCACTGCCGTAGAGTTTGTTCAATCACTGTGAGTTTCATTCAAGGGAATTACGGATTGTATGTACCTGCACAAAAGTTCTTCAAAGCACTAACACCTACCAGAGCTACCAGTCATCAAGGAAAAAATTATTCTACTTTCACGACCTAATTTCACATATACATGTGTGTGTGCGTGTTTATATATGTATGTGTGTGTGCAGTAACCTTTATTCCGATGAGCATGAGCAACCTCAATCACCGAGCCCTTGCCTTAGGAACCTGCGCATAGTGCGTGGGCACGTGATGCGCTGGGCGTGGCCCTGGTGCCAAGACCTGAGCATTACAGGAGAGCCGACTACGATGACTACGTGTCGTTTCAAGCAAAGTACAATACTTCTGTGTTTTTTTCTCAATTTTTTTAAGGCCCGCCCTGACTTAATTATATAAGTAGGCGCTTAATCAATTAAGTAAGGGAAAAGTAAACTAGTAGCAATAAGAAACTCCCAGTAACTGGACGCAGGATTGTGGTTCCTACTTTAGATTTTCAGTTTCTGGTTAGCATATCATTGGGACCATGCCAAGGGAAAAAGTGTTGGCCAGCATTGTCCAATATGAATGACCAGGACTTGAAAATTCTAACATATCACCCACAAACCAGAGATAGATATATATATATATTTATATGGTTTGCCTCCAAGGAATTCTTCGATCGTAATCCATGCTCCGGGCTTTCTACTACAGTCCCCGACCCCCTGTCCAACAAAGTGGGTTCCGAGCAAATGCGGCCATGTTTCTTCCGTGCGGCGGTCTGATCCAAATGGAACTGCAAGTTCGTGAGAAACATCTTCAACGCAAATAAATATCAACTGGCAACTCAGCGTGAATGAGACTTCGGGCATCTTGCCCCGCGCTCACAAGTTACAACCCAAGAAACTCTGACATCCATTGTAGCCACACCCGGTCTTGGGCAACCCAAGCCCGAGACTCCACCATGAAGATCATTCACGGTCTAGTGGCATCAGTCTTCCTCTTTGACTCTTTGGAACCATGTATGTCTATATATACGTATATATATATATCGTGCGTTCTCTGATTGATTTTTTTCAGAAATGTACCTTGTGGACGCCCCACTTTTACGGTGTTTTGAAAAGAATATCAGCTTAACAGCAAAGTTGAGAACACGGAAACACGAAAGGCAGGACAGCGGGACGAGAATAGAAGAATGCAAAACACGCATTGTCAGCTAATTATGTGGATGATCGGGGTAAGACTAGAACCCCCTTGTAGTGTCTATTTTCAGGTCACAGAGATGCTGGCGCGTGCGACGGAAGATTCAGAACTCATCGCCATATCCTCGACGTGCTGGGCCGCTGTGTGTCGTTGGCGGCATGTGGTTCGAGCCCTCAAGAGAAATGCAAGGGTCAAAACAAAGCTGCTTCAGTCTCATGAGTCGTGAAACCAGAACATGTCACTACGTCACAAGGTTTGTTCAATCAAGGATCTCTTAGAGACTTTGGTCCGGATCCTCGTCGAACTCTAAGGCATCGCGTTCCACCGTCTGTCAAGGAGCTTCGACCTCCAGCACATTTTGGCATAAAATCATAGCGTTTCAGGCCAGTCTGGCGTTCAAAGCTAGTTAAACAAGCCGGATAATGAAACCTGGTTGGTGCATGGTAGAGCAAAAAAGTTATTCTATGGATGATGTAAGTCGGTGCGTCTATATATATATATCTCTCGCAAGAAACCTGCTTAAATCATGTAAGTATTATGGGATATATTGGGTCGGGGGCGTGCCCCATCAATCCTGGGTAGAAACCAAACCCGTAGTGAAGAAATCCAGGGAAAAACTTAAACGTCAGACCGCCAGACGTCCAGTCCATGCCAAACAGGGCCACCCGACATGTTCGAAGTCTCCACGCACCACATCGAATGGACACAGAAGATGCAAGGCGCCGGGCTTCGGCCGGTTGCGACTGCTTGTCTCCAGCAAGCAGTGCCCCCACGCGCCAGAGGAGCAATCCGGAGGAGAAGCAAAATGTGAAAGGAGCAAAAAACACACGAGACCGAAGGAATCAAAATGGAAACAAAGACGCAGCTGCAAAAGTGTGTGTTTGGTCTAGCGTCCACCCTGCGCGCCTCTATACCGGAAACATGAGCTAGCATCTCAATACGCGTGAGCTTTTGCCTAACAGTATGCACTACGCACGACTATAGTAGACTATACATGTAATGATCCATTCCAAGTGGCAGCTTCGTATCGCGCAGGCCGAGGTGGCAATTCTGCCTGCTCCTTGGTTTTTTGGCCGCCAGTGTTGGAAAGCTGTAGAGTCTTGCAGTGCGCAAACGGCCCACAACAATTCCTTGTGTCAAGCTTGCGCTGCTCACAGACCGAAAAAAGAAAACTCGTCTTGAAACATCCAGCGCAGCAACCAAAGCCTTCTCCAATTTCTTATCATTTCTTTACAGGAATGTTTAGCGCTTGGGCTCGCTTTGCGTAAACCGGCCACCGTCCTTCGCAGCAGTTACAGTAGTAGTAAGGGTTTCGCGGGAGGCGGCGTCCCCTGGAGGTATCTCGTTTATGCCTGGGCCTGTACACTACACAAGTGAACACGGATGAAAGACAAGCAAATTTGAAGCGCGCCGTAGATGACCGCTCATATTATGTGCGTGCGCGCGTTGCTCGTTGCCCTGTGACCCTTGCGCGCTGCTATAGGGGGTCGCCCATCCATGAAATCCAGTAGCCGATGGTTCCACCACAGCACACCTGTGCCTGGATCAGCTCATCCAGCGTCATGGCGAGCATGACCTCCACGGCCGGCACGTGGAACACGATCCAAACAGAAGAGCAGGCAGCATGCAGCAAAAGCCGGTGCCTGCAGACGCCGTCGTTTGCAGTTTGCACTGCGTCATCTCTGCCAAGCTGACTTCGAGCCAAAGCAGCTATGCCGCCGACGCCCGTCGTGGTCACGAACTTGCAAGGTTCCGCGAAAAGACCACATCGCACATGGACGCAAATTGGTGGCTTGCGTCCCAAAAGTTTGTTGCTCCGATGATTTCGTCCACTTTGGGACGAAGCGGGGGGGGTCTGTATGGAAATATCCCTGCCCAGCGCGGAATGAGGAGTGAAATATCCACTCCACACGGTTTGGTGTGCACGGAGGGAGGTGTAAGCCGTGAGAGAGTGTCGACTCGCGGTCCACCCGCTCCAACGAAGGGACGAAGGGGTGTGTCTGTACGGAAACATCGCTTCTACAGGGCGGGGCAGTGGTGCGCGGATCCCGTGGCGTGTTATAGAGGGGCGGGGGCGTGAACGGTGAGTGGCGCGCTGTGGCAGAAACGGTAGCTGGTGTAGACCGTGACGTAGTGCCAACAGCGGTGCTACACCCAAGGCGCTGCAGCAGCAAGGCCAGGTCCTGTAAAGCGTGGTTTGGCGTAAGCCGGCGGTTGGTGTAAAACGCGGCAATCTGATGCCAACTGGTCTTGGGCTGAGTGGATCGAGCTGGGTAGGTTCAAGGCTTGTTGCACAAAAAGTGGTAGGTTTGGCATTGCCTGTTCAGCAAAGAACTGATGATGATCCACGTGTACCCGTCTTTCACAATGAACTTCAATTCAGTATCCTTTTGGGTGAGGTGAACACACGAGCACCCTGAAGGAGACAGCAAAGCAAGTTCTGGAGTAGGAACGCCTTGGAGGATGCCCTTTTAAAACTGAGTGGTGTGTGAACATTGGCTGCGTGACAATTTAGGTTCGTGCCTCTGAATATCCTATTCAGAAAGTAGTAGGCTAGTGACCACACTTGATCGAGAGGCTGAACTGAAGCCACACTTAGCTTCCCACCCTGCGCACCATAGATTCAACAACATATATATATTAGAAATGACCAAAAACATCTTTAAATGGGGCCTCCACAGCGTACCACTCTCGTATATTTATATATAATATGTGTCCCCATACCGGCCAATGACTAGCTATTGACCATCCCGGGATGCCTCGCGCCAGGCCACCTCTTTCGGCAGACCCTGCGCGTTCACCTTCGGCAAAGGTTGAATAAGCTGTTGATGATCGGTTCTGAGTCAGCACCAACAGAACACTCCATGCGCTTCCAATACCACCTATTGCAAAGTCTGCAGAGGAGTCCATAGCAGCCAGGCCACCGACACGGCCACCCGGATTCGGTGGCCAGCTTTGGCCGGATCTTCAGGATGTCTGGCGGGCAGACTCAAGCACAAAGTTGCTGGTCTGCAGAGCCGGAAAAGAAACAAGGAAAGTGTGCAAGGTTCAGCTGGCATCTGCTCGTGGCCACCTCCCAACGGTCCAATTTTTGCCATGGCCTTTGTTGTCAGGCCTGGCCAAGTGCCCTCCATTGGAGGCTGCTCGATTCAAAAGGCGGTTCTGTGATGCATTTGTGATGAAATTCTCCTCTTCACACTTTCAGTGGATCCCTCGTCTCCCTCAGACCGTTATAGTGTATTGGGCAGTCTGACCGTTTCCCCATAGCCCCTCTGAAGGCCACACCCTCGAAGCTCATACTTTACAAAGGGGCAGCCATCTGCAATGCTGGGGTATACCTCAGTACACACTTGACCAATGGATGTATAATGATGTATCGTATATCCTCTACAGCACATGATTTTGTCAGTCTTGCAATTGGAGAGAGCCTTGTTTTCTTTGCGTTGGGGGCAATGCATTTCAAGCAACGATGAGCGGCTTCTCCTTTTTCTACAGAGTTGCCTTTTTATACCCTGGCCAAATGCTGTGATGGACACGTCCTGGTGCCGAAGCTTGATGTTTTTGGTTCTCAGGTTTTCGATGCTTACTAGTGACTGAGCTTTGCGCACATTCCTCCCACCTGGCTACAAGGTCCAGGATCGGTGGGTGCAAGTTTCATCTAAACAAGAAGTCCGAAACGCATTGTAGAGTCCACCCAATTCAAAACTCAGAAGAATGAGCTTTGCAACGAGCCGTTCTCCCATGAATTAGGTTGTCTGAGTCTTGTCCTGCCCCCAGCGCCTTCCACCCACCAGGAGTTGAAAGCTTTCCCAGCCATTTGTGCCAACCTGAGTCTCTCAGAAATAGTAATTGTGGAACTGTTAAATGTTGATGAACCATTGAACAAAACGTTGAGTCAAAGTAGGAACCACTACCTGACCTGTGGAAATCTTCTTTCAGTAGAGCTAGCCGCTAGCCGTGCCGAAACTTGCCAGAACTTGTTGGGAGATCTGTACTGCCAATCCATGTCATTCATAGCAGAGTCCACCCTTGTGCCGTAGCGCCTGGAAAACTTGGTAAAACTTGGAGCCATCCCACTTCATCTCCTGGTTTCAGAAAAGCCACCGGATCCGGTAGTGTTAGGATGTCAAACGTCCGTGAAGCCCATGGCGTCCTTGCTCCTAGTAGCGATGCCAGGAGCCCCTAGTAGCGTCCTTGCTCCTAGTAGTAAGGCCAGGAGCCCCTAGTAGCGTCCTTGCTCCTAGTAGTAAGGCCAGGAGCCCCTAGTAGCGTCCTTGCTCCTAGTAGCTTCGTTTTTGGAGTACATCAGTACATCAATGATTGGACTGTCCATTCCAACATGCAACGGGGAGGCTCCTGTGGTGCAAAATTGTTCCAAGTTGCAGCAATCCAAAGAGCTTTCGGGGGGCGATGATTCTGCTTCCTGCCACACAGACAGGCTGGAAAAGTGCAGGTGTTCTGCAAGAGCTGAGTGATGTGAAGATCAAAGAAGCGATCAAAAATACCTGTAACTGCCTTCTTGTCAGGCATTTATCATGATCGACATCCAAATGTACCAACAGTCTAGAAGCTCAACCAAAAGGCAAACTGACCATCCATCGATCTGACATTTTGAGGTACGGTGTAAACCGATGTTTGAGACACGAGTATATAGAATCCCCCCCACCGAAAAAGGTTCCAAACACTAAAGCCCGCGGGTCCAGTGATCGTCTCTAGCCGCCGATGACCTTGGAAATGTTACGAGGCAGGCAGAGCAAGTTGTCCAGTGCCTATGCTTTATGGCATGAACCGAAAAAACTACTTCCGAATACCGAAGCGGCCAAAGTATAGTATATAGTTTGGGGAGGTGCATCTCCGATACATCTAAGGCCCAAACTGTGCTGCTAGCACCAACGCTCGCTGCGAAGTGCTTGCTGCCTCGAGGATACACTGATACACAATGCTTCCAGAACAACAATCTCGCACATACCCCAAAAAAGAAACAACAAATCTCCCACTTCTCGGAAAATGCAAGGTCACCTGTATTTTGCAAGTCAACTGCGCAACTATATGGCCAGCTACGGGTGGAGAAGTTTGAGCATGCCTCACAAGTAATCCAGGCTTGCAGAGAGCAAGGCGAAACATCTCTACTTTCTTTATTGGTCGGACCGCTCGCAATGCTTCCAACCGACCGAGGATACGCTGCATGCCGGGGCGTCCAACTGCTTTGGCTTTTGCTAGATGCGTCTTGGTCAGAAGCCGCTTGTAACCTGACCCAAAAGCCCAGTAATTTCAGCAATTTCCTCGGGCATTGGGATCCACCCTCACGAGCAGGATTCAGAAAAACCTTGAACAACTGAGGTGTGTTTTGATGTTTTGGGCTGCAGCTGATTGAGGCAAAGCCTTCAAGGTTCCAAATCTTGTTCCAGATCCTCTGCTTCAATAAAGCAAGAGTGGAGTTTTGGATGCAAAATCACCCTGTATACAGTATTTTCGCTCCCAACACTCATCTCCCCCTTCGACGGCCCGAAGGGGCCCATCGACGGCCCCAGCCTGACACCTCCACCGAGTGATCCAAGGCAGGGGTCACCTTTGGGTCAGCCCGACCGGACCTGAAGCAGTCCCGACTGGCAAAACACGGAACCTGCATGTCGACGATGTGCGATTGCTGGTGGTCAGGAAGAATGTCACCCAAAAATGATAATAGATTAGAAGAGTAGCATTATGAGATAGAATGAGTCTATGAGACTCACATTGCCACACTGTCAGGACCGATCTATTCCACCTGCCAAGTGTTTTCTTCCCAGGTGCGATGGATTGTACGATGTTGATGTATCTCAATGGCGCTTGTACTCGCATTGGTCACAACCACTTGTCGCACGCCTGTCTGAAGAACACTTATGCTGCTCACATTCGTCACAACCACTTGTTGCCAAGGATGACCATGCACACGTAAGTAGGTTCTAGCAAGGAGTTTGAATGGTAGGCTCGAATTGTTGGGCTCCGACCAATCACTAACTAACCTTCCATACATCATACTCCAAGTGATGTGGCAAGGATAAAGTCCAGCAAACACCTTCTTCACTCCTCATCGCAAACGGAGTGACTTTCGTAAATGTCTGATGCTTCCAACACTTCCATTTCACGCTTGGGCACTGGGTGCTCCAAGCTGCAAGAAGCCTTGCATCTGTGTGACGCGAGTAGCCACCTCACACAAGCATGAAAGCTTACTCTACACAAGGAAGCGAAAGCCCAAATGGCTTGCTGAATCTGAAGGCGACTAGAAATCAAAAGTTGAAAAGTAATGAAAAGTATGCATCTTGGTTGATGTTTACAAACCTTCTCTAAGCAAAGCTCCGACGAGGGCCCGGTGCCACAAACTGCGGGCCTCTGCATCATCACCCTTTGACATATCAAAGCCATGGCATGGCAGCACGCGCTGCTGCACCTCACAGGCAAAAACTTCCTGGCCCTCTGCAACGTCGATCAGGGAAGACCTTTGAACAACTGAGTATTCAACAATGTAGATCGAAAATAACTGCTTCCAAACTCATTCAAGAAACTATCTCTTGACAAGCACCTCCAGCTTCGGGCAGAGAGCTATGCTCATGTGCACGTGATAGCAAGCTGCATGCCAGTGACAGACTCAAGAAGTCTAGGTTCACAGAGAGAGAGAGAGAGAGAGTCCGCAAAGCTCGAACAGGCCTCTCGTATCACCTTCGCCGCGCTGGCTCGATCAGGAGCGGCCTGCAACAGGAATCCGCACCCGCCGTACTCAATTGTCTTTCACTTTGGACTGCACCAGGCACAACCTGGTGACTGCTTGCCAGTTCCACCTTTTCATCTAAATAATGCTTCTTTGCCTGCAAGGGAAGGGAAAGAGAGCGGGACTTGCACATGTCTCACTGCCGTTCTCGTCGCATCTTTTTCATCACTCGCGAGCTCCGCGCGCTGCCTGGACCTAGCAGAGAGAGAGAGAGAAGGAGAACTGAAATAGACAATAAATTAGATAAATACATAAACAAAAAATATGTAAATATATTTAAAAAATATATAAATAGAGTCCAGAGGGTGTTGCCACGGCAAGATCATCAAGAAGTCGGAACTTTCAACCGCAAGGAATGAACGAGTCAATGCACATCCCAAAAAAACGACCAAGTCAAACAGTCAGACTAGTCGGTCAGTAAGCTGATGTTGGCCAAATTGAGAACACCGGTGCGAACATCGGCCTGCGAGGTCTAAGGCCATGGCGGCAAGGTCTCTGGCCATGGGCTCCTGTATTTGAACCGAGAGGTGCATTGTTCTTTGGAATCAATCGGGCTTTGGTGGCAAAACTGCTCGGCTTTACTCCTGGTTTCAATCTTGATGGTATGACCTGCCTGTCTGATTTGTGGAATGGTGCTTTGTTGCCTTTTCTTGTGCCTTGAGAGAATCTGCCTGATGTTTAACTCCAGTCTCCAAGCAAAACACTGTGGATCTTGCGATCTTGGAAGCCTGGTGACAGCTCTCTTTGCCTCAACTTCCCCACATGCACCATCCTTGCAATGCCTGTTCAGATTGAAGAAGCCTCATCATGAGTGCTCGCAACAAGCAGGTACTCTAATACATGTTGAAGTAAAGGCTGTCGTTCTGCATCAGCCTTGCCAATGCTTGCCGTTTGCTGGCATATGCTCGTCTGATATTCACAGGACACTGCAGCTGCTACAGCCATAATCCCACACCATATGGCAATCGATGGCTTGCCGTCCTCCCGAGGCGTGGTGAACCTGGCCGGTGGATCAAAATCCAGGAACTTGCAGCTTTGAGTCAGCTTTTCCATTCACCAGTGGGATTGGATGGGTGCCCGATCCTGTTACCATGGCCAAATGTTAAACCTGAAGCTTATCCTTTTGGCCGTCGCCTTCGCCAAAGTGCCAGCCCGCTGCACTCGCCGGTGTCGGCAAAGGGAAGCCGCCCTGACGGGATTCCGCCTGAGGACGGAGGCTGTTGCCAAACCATTGCAGGTAGGTTTCTGTCGACAGTCGAGGCCATAAATGTTAAAATATGTTTAATACAGTAGTCCCACCTGAATCTTCCAGGCACAAAGCACCACTTCCTGCTGGACGGGAGGCGACGGGAGGAGACGGGAGGTCGGCACAGGATCCTTTGGCATGAACTTCGCTTGAATCGAGCTGACTTGTTTTGGAAAGGTTCGTTTAAGAAGACTGCTACGAGTAGGTTGAAGTTGCTGCAAGGCAGCTCGGCTCGAACACATTCATTGCTATTGCTAAACCTTTGTTCAACTCCACCTGGACTTCTTTCTCTTGAATCCCTTGACAAATCGTAACTGTCCAAATCTCTTGTCCCACTGAGCAGTGACCTGTCAGCACGAGAATGGGGGGATGGCTCATTGGATTGAAAGCAAGACTAGGAGGCCCGGCCAAAAGGTAGAAGTTCACGTCCGAAACCAAGCGCATGACACAACTGCGTGCATGTCGGCCAGCTCGGTACTGCTTGCTCTCAATGTCTTGCAGCTCTTGGAAGCGCCTGAGTCAGAGTCACGATGGTACAAGTAAGAGAGAGAGAGAGATAGAGAGAGAGAGAGAGCCAGAGTCCCAAGCTGCAGTTGTATACTTTTTGAGCTTTGTTGAGTCAGGATCTCCCTGCATCATGCAAATGTTGTTGCAAAATATATACATGCAACACAAGGAAATAGTAGCTAAGCCATGGCTGCTAGCAAGGCTCTGCAAAGACTGCTGATATTCCAGGTCCAGTTGTTCTTGGCTCTGCTTCTGCAGCTCGAAATGCAGTTTGCTGGCTTGTGCCAAGTTGTACCAAAATAACATCAAGGCAGATAGAAGCGGCTCCCAGAACCACAGCAATCTTTCCTGCCAGAGGGGAGGGTGGGAGGGTGAACCAGATTGCAAACCTTCTCCAGATCTCTGCATCAGTGTAACAACTCACGAACAAAATCATTGGAAAGTACTGTCGTCGCCTCCAGCACACTGGCTGCAGCCTGCAGCAGGTCAGCCACATGTGAGCCTAGGAGTGGAGAACACACCCTCGCCACGGCGTTGATGGAAGGACACCCGTTGGCTTGGTTGGTTGGCAACCTTGAGTCTGTGCTGGTTGGCAATTCCGTGAAAACCACCTGCCCCCTGTAAATGTCCTTTGACAGGTCTTGTGCATTGCTGTTTGGAACCTGGGCTTCGGCGGCTATGAGCATCTGGTGCCCCAATGCGACCTAACCACGAGTGTAGGAGTCGGCGTTTGACAATTCGGGTGTTCCTAGCCTGCATGACTATCGTTCTCGTGCATTTTTTAGTCACACATTCTGACCTTCTCGATTCTCAACATCCGCAATCACATCTCCGCACTAGGTTTCCTACCTGTCCACATGTGACTTTGGAAGAACTCTAAGTTGCTCAAAACACCAGACGTCGAGCAGAAAGTGCTGTAATATATATATATGTATATGTATATACATATCAGATCTATCAAAGTGTCAAATGCTCAGAGTCCTTCCAAGAACTCTTTTTGTTAAATACATATGGTTTCTGAACAATAAAATCGGCGAAGAGAGTTTGGTGTGTGGTGCTCCCTGTTCCTTTCCAAGGCGCCGCTTTCATTCGCCATGGGGGCACGCGAACCAACCTCAAAAGGCACTGACTGCAGATTGACCAACTGAAACATGCATCCGGTGATGCATTCTTTATTTGACATCGATGTGACAATCCGTTTTCCATAAGATACCCGGTTGTACTGGGACCTAGGGTCAGTGCTGGGTGTTCTTTGGGGGGACTGACCCTTGCTCAGCCAGATCACGTGGATACAGTAAATTTGAGGGCTGAGGCTCAAATTCAAGCCCAAAAGTTAAAAAGGCCCTCACCAATGAAAATTGATAACTTTAAGAAGGCCTGACGTCCTGATCATCAAGCATGAGTTCGTTCCCATTCCAGGCCCAACTATGAAGCGGCTCGAAAAATGTCAGCTGCTTAAAATGTCTTTTTTCACACGCTGTCTGGTGGTTTAGTTTGAGAAATTTGGGCTCTACGGATTGTTGCGGACATCTGCAGACCTTGGAAGGTTAGAGTAGTGTTTTTGGACCGGTTTTGAAGCGGCTCGTTTTCAGAACATGTTTTTGGAAGCGGCTTGCAGAGAACGCGGCTTTGAAGAGGGAGAGAGTTTGATGCTGCAGATTGGAAGAGGATGTGCTCTGATCGCTCTGGACATCCTGAAGGACATCCGGGTTGATCAGTGTGTTCGCGCACGTCAGGCAAATGACGATAGGGAAACAAGGCAAGTGCCAAAAACCTCTTTTTTGGCACTTTCAAGTTGGGCGTTGTTTTGTCCCATGTCAGCGCGTTGCTTGGCACCAAAAGATTGAGTCCTCTCAACAAGTTCCGCGCACAACGAATTCCCAGACATGGCAGAAAAGACTTCTGGGCATTGGCTTCTCACCGGAAACCTCTCAATTGGCAACAACAAGGAGAGCGTGAGGCTGCAATCATCAGGCAGTTCGAAGGCATGCCTGCCAAAAGAACAAGCCGTGCACAGGCTTGGAGAACGTTGGTTGAAGCAAAACTGTGGGCTGGATGAAGATCCCAAAAGCATAGAGTTGTTTCCAGGCGCTGTCATTTTGTATGTGCCCCTGTCATTTTTCCTCTCTCTCTATCTCTCTCTCGTTCCCTTTCCTTTATTCTTTTGTTTTCTTTTCTATTCAATCTTGTCTCTTCTATTTCTGTTCTCTTTTCTATCGTTTCCTTGCTTTTCGCCGACGAAGAAAATAAAAGCACTCTTGGACGGCTCCGAATACTGGTTTGATAAAATCCCAGGAAATGCAAAACATTACTACTGGATAATTTCGAATGCACTGACCCTCAAATCATGCCCCAAAAAAAACAAAACTACCACTTCTTACTTGGGTGGACTATTCTAAGGGATAGACCGATAGACCCCCTTGTTAGGTAACTCACCGGCTAGCACCCAGATAGAGTCTTGGGTCTAAATATCAACAATTGAAGTTAACTTTGTCAAACTTGAAGTTACACTTTTACACTTCCGGGTTATGCCACTTTTGGTGAAATGCATCAATTCAAGCCAAGCAACAATTTCATCCAGACTCAAGGCAGTGTGCTGTGTGTGACGTAGCCACCCATGGAAGGCCGCCTCCAGACCTCAAAGTAGTGACCAGTGATTCTAGCAACTGGGTTGGCCTTTCTCCAGGTAACTTTTCTTGCACGCGTGCGCGCGTCTCACTCTCTCACTCACTCACTCACTCATTTTTTTTTTCTCGGCTCTTTTGTGTCTGCACGAACAAGGCCACAGCTTCAAGCCAAAAGTGGCCACCGAGAAAGGTTCATTCTCCTTTGACTCGGTATCCTTTCACGGAACTGTGCATCAACTCCAAGTTGGATGCCTCAAAATCAACTGCCAACATGGCATGCAAGCCATCGTCAGCTGCTAGAGCTCGGTCCAAATCTGAGCTTCATCTGGCCCCGGCTAGTGGTGCATGGTTTGGACAACCACTGTTGGACCCTCCCATCTTGCTCTTTGCTGGTTCTTTTGCATGTGCTGCAGACAAGCCAGCTGCCTCTCCGCCAAACCTCATGTGAGGTATGCACACGAGTCCTGAGCTGCAAGCCCTGCTCATCAACCTTGCCAAACTTGCATTCGGTGGCCGCCAGTTGATCCAGGACCGCCTTGCTGGAACGAAGGGGAATCTTATTCCAGCAGCGGACACAGCCAAAGGTTGTGGCGGTCATCTCCCACTTGTGCCCATTTTGTGCCTCAAGCATCCCTTCAGTGTCATGAATCATCTCACTCATGACTTGCTTGAGTGTCTTGGTCACAGCACCAGGGCAAATCGTGGCTTGCTTCTTATCGATCTCTTCGAAAGTGCTGCAGGCCTTGATCCTCTTGCCACAACTTTCACAAACAACCCCTTGACGATGGTGCTGCCACTTGTGTTGACCTGCAAGGGAGGTTTGCTGCACCAGTTGATTGAAGAGCGCAACTCGGCCACCTTTTGGCTTGGGCTGCGGCACCCGCACTTCATGTTCAACTTTCTCAAGCTCCCCATGCATGTAGTGGTCCCGATCAGCCAGGATTGCACTGATTCTGCCCGCAGCAGTCTCATAGATGGCTTGATGTTTCTGATCTGCTGCTTTCAACTCCTCAACAAGGGCTGTGGGCGCTTCCCGCATGGCACGCTGTTTGGCCATATGCTTTGCTTCACCAAACTGAATCCATCCTCTCGAGGTGCTGCCCTCCTCCTTCAACAACTTCGGTGGCACATGCAACAGTTGCAGCCGTTTCCATTCTTCAGCAGGCAAATTGTACCATAGATCTGGAGCAGCTTTACTCTCCCCTCCTTTCTGTAGGGCTGTCCATCCAGCACGATGGGGAATGTTCAGCTGATGTCGGCCCAGGACAGCTTGCAAAAGAATCCAACAACCAAAGATCCATCCCCGAGCTTCCGTGGCTTGTCCAGGTGTGACTGCAGTACAAGTGCCTGCTATTTGCCATGACCCTTCTTGCCAGGTGCCAACTGTGATCGCCACGATATACTGCTTGATGCGACAGTCATGGCATGTTGCTTGCACCCCAATGGCAATCCTGTGGGAAGGCGTCAGCCTGATGGGCCACCCTTGGGCCATGATGCCAGCAACTTCACATGATTCCATGCCCTCGACGGCCGCAAAGTGAGGCTTCTCAATGAGCCCACGAGCCCACAGCATTTGATCTTCGTTGGCATTGATGCTAACCTGCCAGTCATTCGGCAAAGCCTGCTCATGGTACTTGCATTGCCACACCAGGTGTTTCATGGTCACAGGCACCTGGCACAATGGACACAAAACTCTGACGCCAGCATCATGTGTGCGCAAAGATCCTTGCGTCCACGCATCCAGTGCAGCTCTAGCCTGGCCCTTGAGCTTCTTGATGACGCGATGGTATACAGTCCAATCAGGCTGTCGCATGAGGGGGAAACAATGCTCCAACTCCTGAATTCTTCTGGCCCTCTGGTGCTTCTGCTCCTGGTGCAATTTGCGTTGCAGGTACAGCCACGGAAAATCCAGGCTGAGCTGATTGGCAGGGAGGAGGCCCTTGCTAGGTCGGAGCCAGTCATCTAGAACTGATGCGTCCCAGCCCATCTCCAGGAGGTAAACCTGCAAAGCAGCCATGGGACCTGCCACAATCATCCATGGATGCGCAGCAGCTTGAAGCCTCCGCCACGAAATCCTCCAGGCAGACATGAGCTCACCTCGCTGGGCTGCAGGCCAGGCTCGAATCAGCTGGTGCATGGCCTTGAGCCGACGTTCCACAGCCAGGTCCTGAGGATCCTGTAGGTGGGGGTGCCGATCAAACACCACATCAAGGCTGCCTTTCTTCTGTAGCCCTCCATAGCGTGCCAGGTGCTAACGCAGGGTTCGCATCCTTTGAGGCGCCATACCTTGAGCTTCAACTCCAAAGCCAACTGGTGAGTGGATCGATGTTTTCCACACCCTGATGCGCACTGGCCTGGACCTCAACTTCAAGTGAAGTAGTTTGGACTGACGGCTACTTCCTTTCAACAGTCTTTTCTGTTGACTGCCTATCCTCCTCCTTCGGCCTCCACTCGAATCCAGACCAAGATCCTTCAGGAGGTCATGTGCCTTGGGCTGCTGCTCCGTGCGGTGAAGATTGATGGACCGCTTGGCTTCAGCTGTGGATGTCAGGAACCCCGTCTTGCCCGGTGACAGCTGTAGGCCAACCTTTTCCAGCCCATACTTGATCTCATCATACCCTGCCAGTGCTTGTTGGCATACACTATGTGCATCTTCTCCAATGAAGTCCATGGAGATGTCGTCGACCCAGACGTCAACAGAGACCTTACGAAACTTCTCCTGAAAGGTCTGTAGCACAGGGGCTAGGATCAACTTAGCGACTAAAGGAGCCGCTGGGCATCCCGCCAACATGCCCTTCTCACAGTGGACTGCAGAAGATGTCACACCTTCAGCTTGGAGCAGTCGGGGCCCGGTATAGACCTCGTAGATCATGTTCATCACCGCAGGCGGAAACTGAAGTGGCTCCCATAGCTCCAAGAGTTGCTCCAACTGCACTGCATCATAAAAGTTTTGCAGGTCCAGAAGCAGGGAGATGACTTGGCGTCCAGTGGCTCGGCCGACTTCACATTTCAACAGACGCATGAGAGCAACCTGGAGGACTTGATGGCCAGGAAGGCTTCGCTCCCAGGGAAGACGTTGGCCGATGGTGGACTGCCAATCTCTGATCTTGTCCCATCTGAGCCGACACCAAGTGCGATACATGACGCTGGTCAGCGAAATTGGCCTCTCGATGTCTGCCTTTTTTGGAAGCAGTAGCACCAGTGTTGTGCATACCTGATCTGGCAACCTTCCAGAAAGCTCCCACTTCCTCATCATGTGGCACATTTCAATGACCCCTTCGATAGGCAGATTCTTGAGCATGGCGTAGCTAATGCCATCAGGCCCACAAGCCTTCTGAGGCAGCTTTTGCAACTTCTTCATCACTGCATGCGGGTCCAGGTCTTCCCATCCTCTGGCTTGAACAATGCCGTCATACCGAAGCCTCTCTCTTTCCCCATTCTGCTTTGGGCCCTCAATGACCTGCCACTTGCTGTACCATTGCTGCTCCCGCAGGGTTTGCCTCTGCTGAACTGGCACATCACGAAAGGGCCTCACATGAACACTGTCCGGCGCCTTCAGGCATTTGTAGATGCCACTGTGGCCTTTGAGCTTGGCTTGTGACAACCATTGCTGATATTCGCCAGCTTGTTGCTCCATTGCCAGTTTCTTTGCAAACTCTTTGTTGCACTCAGCACCCTGTATGAGCAATGTGGGCGAGGTAGACTCTCCAGCAATAAGCATCTCAACTCCAGCTGTGAAGTCTTCCAACCCATGCACATTTTGCCATCTCATATGAAGATCTGCTGTCTTGGCCCGCAAGTGATCCATGGTGCCTGCTGACATGAAGGGCTTGCTGGCAATGTGCTGCAGCAAAGAGCAAAATTGGCCCCAGTACGCCAGATCCCCTTTCTTCCACGGGGTGAGCGGCTTGGAGATAGGTAGAGGTTTGCGCTCCAATGCAAGGTACCAACCTCGTCCTTGTTTTGGCTCATGAAGTCTCTGAAGGTTGAACTTCTCAGCTTGATGGCACCACTCAGCATATGTGATCTCTTTTGGCCCAATGGGCCTGCCAAGCCAATAGGGTTTCGGCGCCGGCTGGAACTCTTCCCAAGAGCTGACCTGATCATCCAGCTTGGGGACCGCAGGGTATTGGGTCAGCTGTGGCAGCACCAATCTCGGAGCCTCCTGGTCCACATTGATTATCAAACCCGCATGGGGCTTCCATGGGACATCCCACGTCACCTTGATGTCGATGAATGGAGCCACCGTGCGGCATGCCACCAGGTAATCCAGTTCAGCTCCATTGACCATTGTTGGTTGACCACTGCTAATGATGTCGGCTTTAAGGACATTCAACAGGTTGTGCCCATCCCATTGTTCTGGCGGCACTTGAAAATCCCCAACCGCAAGCCAGGGGATAGCCAATTGTTTGACACAGGCCGCCATCTCCCCGAGGATGGTGGAGTTGGCATGAGAGTTGAGGTCCTCGCCACACTTGAGGTACAAGGAGATCAGGACTATCTCCCATCGCTGCCTCTGTAGGACGTTGGCCTGAAACCCATTGCCTTCCAGGTCAAAGGAATGAAGTCTGTAGCCACTTTGCCCTTCTCGCATGCAAAACAGTTGCCCTCCACTGTTGCCTCCCCTGCCCGTGTCAAAAGCAGGCAAAAATACAGGTTGCCACCTGTGGCGACACAGCTCATTGTGTGCTCCATCCATCTTCTGGTTGTTGAGGTGAGTTTCAACCATCATGACAATGGAATGCGGCTGCTGAATCAACCATTCTTTGGACTCCCTCGTCCACTGGGTGATGTTGGCATAGATGATCTCGATCTTCTGATTGGGATGCTTCGTCCTCTTGCCAGGTGGCTCAAAATGCCCAACCGAGGTGATCCAGAAACTCGACTGTTCAGACCTCGAGGCCCAGATCATCACTGTATCCCTTTTGATGTGCTCAGGCACCTCTTTCATTGCCTCTGGACAGCGCCCATCATCAGCAAACCAAACCGCTTCACCTTCAACCAGCATAGTGTGGTAATGCCCACTGATGAGCGCAGGACCTTGATGCCCAATAATGCCTCGCAAGACAAACATGGATTGGCCCGTGTGACCAGATTGACTGCGCTGTGGACACTTGAAGGTTGCTGGCGTGCGCAACAGGTGATGATGCTTAATCCAGGACTTCTTTTGAGGGCACAGATGGTACCGACCCACATGAAACACAATGTGCTCAACATCAGCTCCCAAACATTGCCCATTGCCCTCATTTGCCCACTCAGCCAGCAGCTGTTCAAAATGGACATCATCTCCCATCTCAACTGGCATCCTGATGTACAAAGGGATGGTGTCATACTCGTGCCACCTGCCTCCAAAGTGGGCATGCCAATTTCCTCGCAACCCGGTCTGCCCCCATAACTCCCAGAGGTGAACAAGGAATTCAGAGGCATCGTGTTGGCCCTGAGGCTTCTCCAACTTTGCAATGGCCGGCTGCAATTCCGAGGCCCAGAAAATGTCGGGGATCTCATCCTGTTGCAGGATCTGCATGCACAGCTTGGTGGAAGGGCCCCAAAAGCTGGCCGGATCATGATGGTGTGCCCCCATCCAGCACCACATCCGCAGCACTGCATTGGCATAGCACCTGTTGCCTTTGTTGTGAATGTTTAGCGTCAGATTGGCCGCCAGGAGCTCAACCGGAGGCGGAATGTCAGGTTCTGCATCCACAGGTCTGCACAAGTAAATATTGCTCTGCAAAGCAAGTCTCATCTTAAGGACATGCTTTAGGGCCTCCAAGCCCCAAACTCGTGTTTCATGCATGCCAAACTGAACATCGTCTCTGCATTCAACCGGCAGACGATCAATGGCTTCCCTGGCCCGTTGCTGTAGCACTTGCAAACGGTTTTGTAGCCTCCCTGGGCTGGTGTATTGCTGTTGGTCCGGTTCATCTTCCCAGACTGCATCTTCTCTTGCTCGTTTGCCCCCTCCCAGGAGCTTTTGCTGCTTGGCCCGTGGGGCCTCTTTGTGTCGCACTTGATGCTCATCAGAACCTTCCAGGGTCCCGCAAATAGCAAGTCTGGGTGTCCCCAGCTGCTCTGAGCTCCACAAGGGCAGTGCCCCGGTTGGTCTGACTGCATCCTCTTCTTGCGAGGGTCCGTCTTCCGTTGACCCTAGCACAGCCGTTCTATCCCATGTGTGCTTTGATACATGGGTGTCGATCTGTGCTTCCTTCAGCGTCAAATTGGATGCTTGGGTCACCACCGACCCTGACTGCGGTTCATCAGCAAACGAATTTCTTCCTTCCACATCCTCACGCTGACAAAAGCTGGAAAAGGAAAACTCTCCTCCAACATTCATGTCATGACAGCGCATGTCCAGATCATGAGGAAAAGGAATGTCAAACCATCTGTCCCATGCAACATACGGCTGCCAGCCTTGAAACGGTGCAAAGACAAGTTGCTCAGGTGCGTCCACATGTTGCATGCCCTCACAAACAATGGCATGATGACTTGCACCCCCGCAAGTGATCATGTCTTCCCAAGGTACCCATACACTCAAACACTCTTGCAAAGGTGGTTGCGCTCCCAATTGCCCCTCTGCATCACTGCCCAAGCCATCTGCATGCACTGACCCCAAATCAAAATGCATCATCAGCTTGGATCTTTTCCCACAAACCAAAGCTTTCCTTTGGGGCGTGCCATAGGGGTTACCCCGACGGCTGGCCCTCATCACTCTTCTTGCGGCGTTTCAACATGCTTTCTGCAAGCTGCCGCTGAAGATCTGACTTCTGGGTCTCTGTATAGAGGATCCCAACCTGAGCTAACGCCTTCAAAACATGATCATTCATGTCTTCATCCAAGGCTGTCTCACTGCTAGGCTCTTCCTTCGTCTCCTCCTTCAAAAGCTTGGCATAGGCTTCTGATTGCGCAGTGAGTTGTTGCTGTTCTTTGTCAATCATCTCTTGAACCGATTTCAATTCGTCCAAAAGAGCCCGATATTGTTCTTTGGCATGGTCCACCCTCTTCTGCAGCCCTGTCTTCTTGTTCGACAATTGGCGTAACTCCCCAACGGTCACCTTCAGCAAGGTGGTGACGTCTTTGGGCTCTTTCTTCTCAGGGGCCACAAGGTTAGTCACTGCATCCTTGACTTCCTTGGGGAGATCTTCAAGGTGTGCCTTAAGAAGTTCCTCCAATGGCTGCATCTCCTGTGGCGGTGAGTAGTCAACTCCGAGGGACTTTAGAGCATCTTGTACTTCCTTGGTCAGGCTGGTCCAACCTTGTTGCAGGGCTTTGTCCACTCCTGAAACTGGCCCACGCTGGCCAAGTCCCGGCGGCTTGTCGATCAGGACTTGCCGATCTCTGCTTGGCCTGTTCCTCCTTTTGGGTGACGTGGAGGTGCCGGCAGGCCAAGATCTCTGTGGCCACGGCGTGTGACATTTGTCGCATTGCCACCTGGTTGCGGTCACTCTGTCACTCCAAATCCACGAACCTGAGCAGCCCTGGCAGCATAGGTAGGCACGCTGCCTTCTCCGTCTGGGGTAAGTCCACCCCTCCCATGTAGAGGCCACCATCGTACTCATCAGGGACGAAGATCTCTTCAATCTCTATCACGGGCAAGGGTGTGGGTGACCTTCCTGATGTTCACGAAGAAGGGAACACCGCGTTGTTTGGCTCCGCAAGGGATCTAGCGTGGTGCCCAGGCTCCACGGTCCCAGCTTGAGCCAAATGGCTTGAGCCAAAATGGCTTGAGCCAAAATGGCTACGGCTCACTCACTCACTCACTCTCTCTCTCTCTCTCTGACTTTAATATCAGAATCAGGCAGATTCAACCTATAACCCCCCCGTATGACACCAAAACACCGTTGCATCGGCCATTGTGGCACATCAGCTTTCCAGAAAGAAACCCTGCTCGGCTTCAGGAAAGCATAATGTATATCTCCAATCCAGGCAAGGAACTCGTTTGTGATCGAACTCAGGCATATTATTTGTTTGGCATGTCTGCACTCTGCACCCGGCCCGCGTCACTGACAAGGGGCAGCAACCTTCCAAACGCCGCAGCCCTCGCCGGAGAAGGGATGTGGCCGTTTCCCTCTGCTGCTGGGCCAGGCACTCCAGGTGCTCTTCAAACCGGCGCCCACGGAGTGAAGAGGTTGTCCATGTAGCCCAAGCACCCAGAATCTGCAGGATCAATAGCTTCATAGTCAGTTGCGAAAGACTGAGTTCGTGTCTCCTGACAGTCGAATTCATCGAACTTTACCCATTCCTCAGACTGTTACCTGTTTATTGATCAGCCTTTGAAAGCATTGAAGTCATTTCTCCTCTTGGACATGGATCGCCAATTGCACCATGCAAAGAGCAACCGCAACTGCTCCGTTGTGGAGGCAAAACATCTTGAGACAGCTTCTCTCAGCCGAGAACCTCGAAGCCGCTGCTCCTCTCGGAACTGATCCATACTCTGCTGCAAATCCTGGCAATCTGGTCACATGAGTCATGGGTCTTTGCATGGTTTTCTTCAACGTGCTTTGCTTTTTCTGTAACTTTCCACGCAGATTCAGGGGGGGACAACCATGCCCAACAAAAGATGTGCAAAAGTGTCTGGTAATCCGTTTGGACCAAGGTTCTTGTAGTTCACTGGCCCGCTGATGGAGCCACAGCTCCCACTCTTCTCGCTTGCGATTCGCTTCCTGGAATCGTATGATCGTGGCAAACACTTCTTATATGTCAAGTTCCAATTCAAAAGGTCCAGGTGATGTTTTCAAGACTACCTTCTGCCGACATTGTTGGGTGTTCGATGCAATGTCTTTGTGTTAAAGACATGTACCCCCCTCACGTCCTGCTGCCGCCACTGAGATTCCTCCCATGCGCGCTCGGCACGCTGCTGCTTCTCTGTGGCTGTCCGCTGCAGCGTCCATCGCCGCTGACATCCAGAAGCGTGAGACCAGTGGCGGAAAGCCTCACGATCGATTTTCCTTTCCGGCTGAAATTGGCCTCTCAAAAATGTACCTTGATGTTTAAAAGAATGTAAGACTCCTGAGAAGTCACTATGGAAAATCATAGTTTTTGCAAATGCAACTGGCAATTAGAGTGGTTTTGCATTTCAAGTGGGAAGCGACGGTATCCAAGTCCCTTGTTGAAAACCACCATACAACGACAATACTGATACTCGTCCATTGTGCCTGCTGCAATTGCAACACTTCGTAATTTTGAAACCTCAGGAAGCAAAGCCAACCAACTTAAACCGAGTAATCAATGATCCAACTGATAAGCTTGAGGCTACACAAGTGCTGTCACTCATCCAATATCTATGTACTGTATGTGAGGTCTGCATGTTGCTACGCTCAGCCACAATTGTTCAGTGTTGCCAACCTCTACGGCAGAAGCACACTTGGCAAAAACTACCTCAAACTCTCAACTGCGGCAACTGCTCCAAGCTTCCCGGCATCAAGTCCAGGTGGTGACGAATCAGCGCCTTGTCACCTTTGCCCAGCATACGGCCAACTCACACTGCTCTCGAGTCCCCTTCTAGATACAAAAGTCTGCCGCCGAATGCTGTAGCAGGTGGTTTGGTGATGTTTGATGCGTTTTTTGCAGTTTACTAACGGGGAGGCTGAAACCTCTGCCGGCAAAAGGCGCTGCTCTTCGCTGTGAACATCTGGGTCTTCTTGAGGCTTCAAACTCAGCAGCTTCTTCTCTCCTAGCGTGGATGTCGGACCATGAGAGGTGCTCTACTCCCTATTTGTTTTGCAGTGTTCGTCCCGTAGGCTTCTCTCTTCTTCTCCTCACTCACGTGCATCCTTGTTGGTATCCTCTGTGGATAGCAGCACACTCCAGGATACGAGGGATAGGAGCGTTGTGGACAAGTTAAAGTCCAGCAATAGTTTGTGGGAAATTTATGTGCTCTGAACTGCTCTAAAGTAAATACGACAAATGTTCTGTCTGCCTTACCTCCTTGCCCTCTTACCCTCTCCGTTGCTTTGTGTCAAGTCCTCGCTGGCTCACGGCGAAGGCAGCCCAGCTAGTCCAGCACCTCTCAGGTGAAGCAGAAATAGGTACAAAAAGATAAGTTCTTTGATGAGCCGTGCCTGCTACAATGCTACAACTTTCTCTGCTCTTCCCACCAGTGTATTGTACATGACCATTCTGTAGTGTTGGTGGACTCTTCTTGTGATAAAAGATAGGATCTGAATGCCAATTGCCTCTTCGCATCAGGCACTGAATCAGCCCAAATCATGGCAACAAGACAACAGGCCTTTGGCAAAGACTCCTTGGCGCCCATAAATCCTGGTTGATGCAAAGCTTGCTTGGAAAATATGACTTTCCCGAGAGAAAGAAAGCTAAGGTACATGCATCGTCGCTGCATGTTCTATGAGAAAGAAGGGATTGTGATTCGCAATTGTTGGATCGGCCTCACTGGGTACTATTTGGGGTGCTGGTGTTATTGGCGCGAGAGATGACGTAATGTGAGAGTTTATCCTGGGTGAGATACAGGCAACATATTTGCTATACTGGTGCTATGTTGCTTGTTTGACTATAATATAGTAATATAGTATAGTATAGTATATATATATATACAGTATAACATGTTGTGTCCAAACTTGCGTCGTTGACTACCACATCCTCAACTTTGTCAGCACTTTGGCTGCAGCATACACACTGGCTTACGCAAAATCGGCAAACTACCGGCAATTGTGTCCTTTGAAGCATTGGCAATGGTCTGCCGCATCTGCTTGCTAAGGCATGACGCAACATACCAAAGTCGGACTGAAACTGCCAAAAGTGTCCTGCAAAGCTTCTCAATGGGGTGTTCTTGCAGTCGCATGTTTCTTTTAAAACCCATACCGCGTGTTGCACAAGTCTTGGTGGTGCCCGCTGCGACAACATGCAGAATCCTTCTGGCTGAGTGAATGAAACCATAAGCATGCATAATCCAAAGCTGGGAGCGATCGACTTGTTGTGGTGCCTGCAAGATTGGAGTAAAGACGGTGAGGCCTGAGGAGTTCATGTGCTGAGCATTCCTCCATGAACGCTATGGATGTGCCGAGTATAGCAGTCCTTTTGCAAGCAGCCATTGATGAGCACACTTGCAAAAGGTCGCTGGCCGTGGCCTCACCTCGGCACCCAGTCTACAGGAGTCATCAGGATTTCTGATTCATTTTGAGGCAACATTTGTTGGTTTTCGATGGGCAAAACCTAGAAAGCTTTCTGAATCATCATTGTTAGCAGCATCATTGGAGGAAATTGTTTAAGTTGCTTCTTTTGAGTGCCAGTGAGTGTATGATTCTTGTCAAGGTTTATCCATCTGATGCCTTTTCCCAGAGATAAGGCAGTCCAACTACAACATTTGCCTTAAGCGACTTGACTTATCATGACTGATCGTACCAAAAGAAAATAGACATCCTTTAAAGTCTTTAATCTTCAATATCTGCAATTCTGTGACATGCCTTGAATTGGTCTGAGATCTCATATATAATAGATGGATCGGATTTACTGGTTGTCTGTCTGCAGTCCGAGCGGTGAAAGGGTGACACTGTAATGTCTGTAGTGTATGTCAGGGTAGTCGGAGTCCAAACTGTTCGCTCCGGTCCATGGCGACAGCATGGAGGCCATTACTACTAGTAACAAGAAGCTACTAGGGTGGAGGCCATTTCTACTAGGCTGATGACTCTGTGTTGCTAACTGGTTGCCAATCTCTAGCTGTGCCGTCGCCACTCGTCCAAAACATCCTTGTCACCCCTTGACCTTGTCTCTCCAGCTACAAACATGTAGTTAGCGGGGCAGTTCCTTTTCAATCCTACCAGGTAAAATGTCATCCAGTCTTCTAGGGTGTTGAAGGTTGTACCACAAACCTCTGAGAGCGGCATTAGTTCTTCGACTTGTGATTCACAACTACAAGGAGTGTGGTGGACACGACGTAAGCAGAAATATCAAGGAATCAGACTATAAGCGCCAAACAGGTGCCGATTAGTGACGAGGTGGTGAAGACATGTGAAGACATTACAATCTCTACTTAGAAAACATTCTTTGTCCCAAACATGACTTTTTCGTGTTCAGCTTTTGGGAGAGCGGTCTGTCATTGGGGCAACCTCAGCACCAGACTCCGTGTTCTTCGTATGTCCATGCTGCCCTGAAAAGCTGCGAACAACTAGAAAACACAGCAGCAATCGCACGCTTTGGCACGACCTAGCTCTTGTGATCTCTGAATTCCTCTTGACACTTCTGTCTTGATTCTCGGGACTTAGGATGACTCGCCAGCTCACTCTTGGAAAGGACTTGGACTTGGTAACATATATATATATATATATTTATACCCAAATCCCACTGCAGGCCTGTGCTAGCTGCCGGCGATGACGCTGAGGTTGCTTGACCCACCAATGGCTCGTCACAGTGCAAATGAAAACAATAAGCGCAGCCTTTGATGCAATTTTGTCATACGAGAATGGCAAAATCGTTTGTGTCTGCAGGATCTGAAATCAAATCTGATGAATATCACATCCACAGGTAGATTTCAGAATCCAAACACGTTTCCTCCTTGGTGTCTCTCAGGTCCTTTGATCGACATGCGGCTACCAAGCCCACCCTCTGCAGGCATCGATGTTGGCTACTTGTTCTTTGAGCAGGTCTGGTGTTACTGCCTGAGTCTATTTATGGCCTAGGATGTCTACCTCACATTCAAGTCCACACTGTTCACAACCCTAGCAGCGCCTCAAATTTCCGCTGGTGTTCCTCCGCCTCGTAGGCCTCGACAAGATCCTTGTACCAACAGTCGTTGTTTTTTTTTGAGCCCGTGGGGAAGGGGGGTAGGCCGCGATAGTAGGAGGCAGAGGTAGCTAGTAGCTTAAGTAGCTAATACCGACAGGACGCAGGATAGCTCGCTCTTCTTCAAGGAAACTCCTCAAGCTTCCTTGAAGAAGCGCTCGCACCAATGATAATGATTTGGTTCCTAGATTTATAGGAAAACTTAACTGATAGCAATGGCCTCCACCGCTTCATAGCTCTGACACCCAAGCACGTGCAGGTAGCATCTGTTCAAAAGGAGAAAACGCAAGCGACACAAGTGACTGCAAGTCCCATGAGCCCGGTCCTTGATGAGGCTCCAAACTTTGCCTGAGTGGAAACTGTGACTTCCAGATACCCAGCACTAGCAGACTGCAGTGCTAGAATACTATCTGTGTGTTTCAACTTCCAGCAAGTTAGGTACGAAGAGCTGCTACATCCATCGAGCTAGATGGCCCTGGCTAATCAAGCTACAGGGTTACAAGATCCAAAAACACCTGTACCACCTACAGTACATTCTTGCGCCACCTACACTAGAGTCACTAGAGTAGTTGTTGCAGCAGTCTCACGACTACAATGAACGCTCACAACCTATATAAATATGGTCACCATCATAAAACCACATCCATCTGGCAGCTTCCTTAGGCCTGGACCCAAGCGCTGTTGCAGTAGGTCGTTCCACCCCTGGGGGAAAATGGCTTCACCCACCCAAAGGCGAACGACTGGTGGGAAGTTGTCACCTCAGTCAGCTCGGGAGCACCGCTGAGTACCACCCTACAACAATCCAGGAGACAAAAGCGCTGGAAAAAGAACTGAGGACAAACCAAAGAGGGCGACAATGTGTGCACAACATAATTTCTCCCAAACCCCCAACCATGAGGTGGGTTTTAGACTTGGGGTGTGCCTCCCAACTCACAGACCTTCAATACCAGGCTGCCATGGCAAACCACTGGAATTGCCTGCAATACAAAAAGATGATGTGTCAAAATCCAATATATTCAGGAGGAAAGGAAACACCTGGAAACTTAGAATTGACCGTCTGATATTGCGCAGAGGAAATAAACATGCATGTTCATGCAGTCCAGTGGTGGAATCAAAGCAAATGCAACCAGCATAAATCAATCAAAATTTGCCGTGTCACCTTGCGTATTCAAAGGCTACAGAGACATCAACACGCTCTGAAAGAACATTTATGCTCACGTGATATGAACTCCTTGGTTCTCTCAGATTCTTTATCTGCTTGGTGTGCTCCCACTGTCCCCGGATCCTGGCCCTGCGTTTCGTCCGTTGATAGCGCAGGCACGATCTCTGAAAAAGAGGTCAGGAGGAACAACATCACCAAGCGAGAGATCTTGGATTCGATGCTCATGCAGGACACTACCGGCCTGTCGCCACAGCATTTGCCCATTTTGTCTGTGAGGTGTCGCCCAAATCAACCCTTGCAAGAGGACAACAAGGGATCCCCAAAACCATGGAGAACCATGCTCCGTCTTGTCGGATGGTAAAGCATGTCCTTATCATTCAAGAGTCCCCAACATGAGCTTCAGGAATTACAGTAGCAATTGAGCCACCCAGTTTAGTTCAATAAAGCTAGTGGTGTCTGTCACAAAATGCTAAATATATAACTGGTGCGTAGTTCAAAGGCCGAATTGAGTGAGCGCGTTTCATGCGTAGCGAAATGACAAGTGCTGGGGCAATTGAAAATCAAGAACACTGCAAACTTAGTCAGAAGCGAATGCGAATTTGCTTGCCTTGGAGATGAAGATTTGGGAAAAGATGTGTTTGAAAAAGAAAAATGACATTGCAAATTGCCAAGACGTCAGCTCTGGCGCTTAGAAAATCTGGGGACTTGCCAATGCATCAGTGCTGAAAACAAAGAATGGGTCTCACGTGACCATTCAACCCATTCAATATGTGGACGTGCCTTCAAGACAGAGATTGTCGGAATCTTCTGGCGAGCAAAAATCTTCCTCGCCCAACTTGTGGCGCGCAATCAATGAAGCACGTGTGGACTGTGGCTCTGTGACTGCAAGCCCATGTCATCTTTCAGTCCACAGCTTCAAAGGATACAAGTCAAATCAATCAACTAGAAGCGATCTTTGCTAGGTTTATCAGGGCATGTTCTTGTATATAGGTGTTTTTCCCCAAACAGTTTACTGTCAGGGTTCTCTACTCTTTCTTAAGATGTGTCCGCCCTTTGTGTCACTGCTGGTGTCCGCCCTTTTCCGCTGGCCATGTAGCATGTCTATTCATTTGTCTCCCAGGTCTGTCACTGCTGGTGTCTGCCCTTGTCCGCTGGCCATGTAGTGGTGTCGAAGTAGGTCGAACACAGGATCGCACGTTACGTGGAGTCATGTTTGCACTCCCCGCCCTTTTCTGCTGGCCATGTAGCATTTCTATTCATTTGTCTCCCACGTCTGTCACTGCTGGTGCCCGCCCTTTTCCGCTGGCCATGTAGCATTTCTATTCATTTGTCTCCCAGGTCTGTCACTGGTGGTGTCCGCCCTTTTCCGCTGGCCATGTAGCATTTCTATTCATTTGTCTCCCAGGTCTGTCACTGCTGGTGTCTGCGGTTTCCGCTGGCCATGTAGCACTTCTATGCATTTGTCTGTTAGGTGTGTTAATGGTGGTGTCTGCGGTTCCGCTGGCCATGTAGCATTTCTATGCATTTGTCTCCCAGGCCTGTCGCTGCTGGTGTCAGACCTTTTCCGCTGGCCATGTAGCATTTCTATCCCTTTTCCGCCGGCCATGTAGCATTTCTATTCATTTGTCTCCCAGGTCTGTCACTGCTGGTCCCAGGTCTGTCACTGCTGGTGTCCGCCCTTTTCCGCTGGCCATGTAGCATTTCTAGTCATTTGTCTCCCAGGTCTGTCACTGCTGGTGTCCGCCCTTTTCCGATGGCGATGCAACATTTCTATTCATTTGTCTCCCTGGTCTGTCACTTCTGGTGTCCGCCCTTTTCCGCCGGCAATGTAGCATTTCTATTCATTTGTCTCCCAGGTCTGTGACTGTCATTTCTATGCATTTGTCTCCCAGGTCTGTCGCTGCTGGTGTCCGCCCTTTTCCGTTGGCCATGTAGCATTTCTATGCGTTTGTCTCCCAGGTCTGTCGCTGCTGGTGTCCGCCCTTTTCCGCTGGCCATGTAGCATTTCTATTCATTTGTCTCCCAGGTCTGTCACTGCTGGTGTCCGCCCTTTTCCGTGGGCATGTAGCATTTCCATGCGTTTGTCTCCCAGGTCTGTCGCTGCTGGTGTCCACTGTCACTGGTGGTGTCCGCCCTTTTCCGCTGGCCATGTAGCTTTTCTATTCATTTGTCTTCCAGGTCTGTCGCTGCTGGTGTCCGCCCTTTTCGGTTGGCCTTGCAGCATTTCTGTTCATTTGCACTGCTGGTGTCCGCCCTTTTCCGCTGGCGATGCAACATTTCTATTCATTCCCCAAGCAGTTTGCCGTTACGTAGGGTTTCTTCATTCTTTCTGAAGATGTGTCCGCCCTTTCTGTCACTGCTGGTGTCCGCCCATTGCTGCTGGCCATGCAGCAGTTCAATTCGTTTGTCTTTAAAATGATTTCTTTACTTTTGTCTCCCAGGTCCGCCCTTTTGCGCTGGCCATGCAGCATTTCTATTACAGTAACTTGTTTCCCATGTGGTTTGTTTACTTTTGTTTTCCAGGTTCGGTGCTTGCACTGCTGGCATCCGCCCTTTTCCCATTTCCAGCATTTCTATTCATTTGTCTCCCAGGTGATTTCTGTACTTCCCCAAACAGGCTACTGTTAGGGGCTCTAAGTGCTTTCTAAGAGTGTCCGCCTTCGGCTTGTCTCCCTTGGTCTCCCTTCTTGTTGGTCACTGTGTCCCCCTTCTTGTTGGTCACTGTGTCCGCCTGGTCTGCTCTAGACTGCTGTATCCGCCACAATCCTTTATTTGTCACCCAGCTCTGGACTGCTGTGGCCGCCTCTGCTTGCAATCCTTTGTCTCCCAGCTCTGGACGTCGCAAGCTCTAGTTGCAGAGTGTTCCGATATTCAAACTGTTTGGGGTCTACGGTGGTGTCATTAAATTTACTGTGATGTGATTTGCGTACTTGCAGTCCAACCCAAAGAAAACCAGCATAGAAAAGAATGGTCCCTAATACTTGATGTGGATTGCCAGATTGTTTCTTTTGCACTCGTCAGAATCACCCAAACCCAGGCTGGGTCCCGTGAAGGCCTGAGGACAAAGTCTACTGGCGCATCTTTTGGAGCTACCACTTCTGCGCCGCTGCCGGTAATGTCCTGCAAAGCAAGCGTGGTAGCAATCCATCTTTAAGTTTGGATTGAAGGGTGTATGAGGGTGTCACTCAAACAAAACACTGTCAGCTATCTTTCAAAAGTCGTGCCTCAAGAAATCTTAAGAAGAATGAGATTTGACCTAAGCTTGGCCAGGTGTCCAGCTTGTCTATTCATCTTCTGACACAAGGCCTGCGTGCCATCATGTGCGACCGTAGACTCATGGCATCAATCCGACACACTAGACCTTGGCTTTAACCAGCCCCACTTCATGACATCGAACCTCAGGAACCTTACAGCAGCTAACTAGGTCCGCCGGGCGTAGATGGCCGGGTGGTTTCGGGA